CAACTTTTAATTCGATACGCCGTAAGACTCGATACAGAACGTTTTATAGAAAGGTCGTTATCGAAAATCGACGTAAAATCATCGAAGAAAAAGTAACGCGTCGAACTCGAAAAACAGTAGCGCGTCACCGTAGCGATACCGTGTCACGGGGACATTTACGACTAATTGCTTCTAGGTGGTTTCTTCGTTCGATACTTCCCCCTTCGCGAGCTTGCTCCCTCTCGTAAATGTCAGTGCTCGCAATAAAAATTCGTCGCGTCCCGTCGCGTCCAATAGCAGTGTTGGACCCGTGGCGCGGAAACTTCGATAATTACCACTAAAATTCAACGAAACGTTCACCAGACTCTAATTACGCTCGTAAATCTTTTTTTCTCTTAATCGACGCTTCGTACTTTCCGTACTTATTTTAGAACTCTTACGATCTCGTTGGTCGCTCGAAACTTTTTCGAAATATTTCGCTTTAAATTTCTACAGCGTTGTTACGTATCGTTTCGTCGCACGAGACAGCGTAACCGCAATTTCTCTCGATCATTTCGAATCTTTGCTACAAATCCGTCGAATCGCTCCTCGGAGGTTTCCGTAGACCGATTCGTGCATTGGCACGGAATCGAAACGTAAAACTTTCATAGAATCTCGCGGGGAGTTAAACGTAATTCGTAAAGACGCGAGGCGAAAGGAGGAAGTCGTTTAATATAGAGAAGCTTTCCGTGAACGCGGATAAAACATAAATCCACGCACCGCGTTCTAGCGAGTAATCCCGATTATCCTTCGACTCCCTTCTTAAGCACTCCGCTCTGCGAATATTCAATTAGACTAGATTGCAAAGAGGATTTCGCGTCGTCGTTGAAAACGGCAATCGTCTGGTAGCCGAGTGCTTCTAAAATATTCTTCGAGTTCCTAAAAATATTGCACTTTCTCTTCTCGAATGGCGAGGAACTGTACCGTTAACGGAGGTACGGGAGCCAGTCTACCTCGGTGAAAAAAGTGCTGGTAACTTCGATGATAAAGAATTGTTAAACCTGGCACGGCGAGTTTCGCGATGCCTAGCAGTTGTTTTCGAATCTTCGATTCGAGACACGAAATCGTATCGAAATCGTGGTGGCAACGTAGACCGGAAGGGAGGCCCTTTGTAGCAATCCCCGGTAGGATTTAGTCGAGGAAGAGAGTCGAGCCGGAAAGAAAGAAAGGAAAGAAGCGAAAGGGAAAGAGAACCGAATCTCTATTTTCGCAGGCTCGCACGAAGGCCTTTGAATAGACGCGATAAGGATCTTATAACCATGCAAGGGGAGCAATGGATGGATGGCAGGGTGTTGTGAAATATAAAGTAAACTACCTGACATTGTCGCGATACGAAGAGGCGCATCGTCGCTTGAATATTGATGCACCAGCTTCCGAAGGGAAGATGAAAAGGGCGGCTGCCTTCGTTCTAGCTTTTTAATAATGAATTCGGCCCTTCTTGCTCGCGGATTTTCTCCAAACTAACCCACCCTCTGCCAGTTTCCTTCCGTTAAGGGAAAAAGGATTGGTTTATCTTTGCTGCCTGGCGGAAATCAATGGGACGTACGGAAACTTTCGTTACGAACCATCGAACATCGGTATGGTTGGATTCGCATTTTCGCGCGACACGATCGAATCCGAGTCCAAACGAGCCGTCGAATTTCCGAATCTCGAAATTTCGAATAAAGAGAATTCGGAACTTGGGAAAAATCGCGTTTCGACGCGGTTAACGAATAAAAAAACGAACGAGACACCTAATACCTTCCTAAAATGAACGTAATCGCGTCAAGGGCTTTAAAAGCCTGTCCCTAGAACCACACTTCGAACCCCAGAACCCGACTGATAGGCTTCGCCGTTTCGCTAACGTGATTTCATGTCGTCGACCTGACGATACCGGCAACTGACGGTCTTCCTACGATTCGGACTCGTTATCGGGCAAAAAATATTTTTCTTCCTCGAATCAGAGATCGACGCGAATACAGATTTTATTCGAAATACGAATATCCTTCGAGTAGAATAATTGCAGGAATCGAACGTATCGGAAGAAGTTAATATCGAAGGTACTCGTCCGGCTATGAGATACTTTTGCCGCGAAAGTTGATCGTACGAAAATCGTTCGAAGCGTTATGCAGTAAGCGGCACCTGGCGGTCAACGTAAAATCCTTTAGGCTCGTTCGAATCGATATCGCGTCTCGATGGTAAGGCGAGCGTTTCTTGGTTCTAGTCTCGGCTACTTCGTCTTCCTCCGAAACTTATTTCGATCGGACAATAAGTCCCCGATTATAATATAATTATAATAATTTGATTTTCGATACGTTTGGAATTCGTCGAAACATTACGATGACTCCGCGACCACGATCTTGATCTCGTCGTAATCGATCAACGTTTCGTTCGACGATTCACTGGTTCGCGAACAATGCTTTTCGACGATCGTCAAAAAATTCTGTCTCCAGGATGGAAATTCTCGCTTCGATTACATTCTGGGCCGAATCGTTTCGAAAGTTTCGACACGGGTGACGAGTTCACTCGAAAGAAAATTTCTTCTCGAAATTCTGTATTGTCATCGACGGGTTTACGGAAGCGATCGAACACCGATCGTTTTTTTCTTACGACGACTACGATATTCTCGATAGCGAGTCTGTACGCTCGGTCAGCGAAGTAGGTCCGCGGTTTACGCCAGATCACGTGCGATTAATTCGATTACGTAACAAGGAAATAAGGCGAACTAATAATCGGGCAACGTGTCAGACCAGATAATCCACGCGCATTTTCGATCCAAGCCTGTTCGCTTGGATTTTCTAACCGGTCGAACCAGATTATCGCGAAAATACAAATTACCTTCGAATCAGAACGGAAGTGGTTCTCGTTTGTTTACCGACGTAGAGGTTCTTCGTTTCGACGAAGAATCGTTAAAAATAAAGGAAAGAACAGCATCGATTCCGCATTAATTGAATTTGCTCGACTATTCGTTCGACGGACTGGAAACTAGCGATACCGATCGTCGAACAGGGTAAAAGTAGTTAAAGTAGAGATATTAACGAAGCGAGTTTTTGCGCGCGTCTACGCGCGTTCGAACAACTCCAGAATTATGCGAGTTTATAGTCGGGACACGAAACACCGTCTGTGATTGGGAATTGTTGCTTTCCCTCGCGATCCGCGCACGTATCTTCCGTTATTAACCCTCCTCTCTTTCTCCCCCCGTTTTCTCTTTGTCCGTTTCTGCTAACGCAACTACGCCAATTTCGCTTGATTGTATCGATTCTGTTTCCGATTTATCGTAAACGCGCTTTTGGCCGAACTTCCGAATATTTCTAAATTCGTTTTACGCGTAACCAACTAACTCGGGTTCTAATTACGAGGGGGTTCGAGTTATCGAACATTTTACGAAAGAAAACGTTTAATTTAATTTCGTGTCCATTAAGAATTCGTTCGTTTGGCGATAAATTAGTCGGTATTCGATAATGTCTCGGTTCAATTTGGCTCGTTCGAGACAAGAATAGATAAGGATGGAGCTTCTTACGTTCCCCCAACAGAATATTCATAATTAAAATGTCAATGTGTCCACTCGGACAAAGAGTAGATCTTAACGATCCGACGGACGTCTCGTTAATGATTTACGAAGGAAGAGATTAACCGTGCTGATTCAGCCATTAGCTTCGTACGATTCCGTTTTCCCATGGGATAAAGCGACGCATTAACGTTCTCTGCACGCTTTCGAATCTCCTGCCAACCTGTCTAATTCTTCGCTCGTCCGAAGATACTCTACTAGAATACAGTCCTCCACGATTCTATTCCCATCGGTAGCGTCGACGTTATTCTCTACCACGATCGAATGGAACGCGGCGCCGTCAACTAATTACCTCCGATTATTGGAATCGGATTAGCCAAGATCACCGGTACGGAACTCGTTAGCGTAATTACGCGTACAGTGCGTCCGCCTTCTGAAAATTTCGAACGGCTTACCTTCGAGAATCTGGCACGTCTCGATACCGTAACCGCGCCGATATCCGTCCTAGCAATAACGTTTGCCATTGTCCTGTAACCATGTTTCGCAACGAAAGGATCAATAATCGTTTCTTCTAGCTGTTTCACGATTTCGTGGCAATTTTTTCTCGAATATCCTCGAGACTGCATGAAATTTCATTACGTCCTTTCAGCGCCGTTCATTTTCTTCCACGATCGTGACGTAACGCGTTACGAAGTGTTGGTCCGGGTTCAACAACAAATATACTTTATTGCGCCAGTATACATCGTATATGTACAATTGCCGATATTACGCTGTTAGATCTACGTTGATTAACCGTGACTGGTGAACAGTTCGCGAGCGACGATCAACCGTTCGCGAGCGACGATCGAGTTCGTTACTTCATCGCCCCCGCTTTCCTCGTTTCGTTTTCAAGTGCAGCCACGACTAACGATCGATCAAGATATGACGTAAGACCGTTATGGCGGTAACACTCGCTTCGAAACGATTTCTTTCTTTCTACGGTGTATTTAATCGTTCGTCCGCAGTTAACGAACAATTTATTCGCAGGATTCACGATCGATGCTCGATTTCTCGGTTGTCACTCGATCGCCTGCTCTTGCACAGATCGCACGGTATTTCTTAATCGAGCCTGTTACGCGATTTACGGTTAAAACTTTTAGTTCCGAGTTCATCGATTTCTATCGTCGCGAGAAAAGAATCGATCGAAATCGAAGAGAATTTTCAAGTTCGATGAAAAGACAAACGGTTCGAGGATGCAAAGGCGAAGATCGCTGGCATTAAATAATTTAAACGAACGCGTATGGGACAATACCTTTGAAGAACGCTGAGAACTCGCGATGATAAATTGAATAGTCGTATTTTTAGTAAACGGTATGAAACGTAACCGAGATTTCGCTGGAATCTTATAGCGTGGGAGATAGTGTGGTTGCTGGTTAAAAAGGAAATAAGCAACCTGGAATGAAATTTTTCGTGCGAGAACTTTTTTCTTTGGGGTAATCGATTTAAAAGGCTGTCGAACGTTTCGGCTTGCACCGCCATTTATGAAAACATTTTTAAACATTAACAACGCATATATTATAATGGTTGGATATTTTTCCACGTGTATCGAGATGTATCGTTGTCGACACGTTCCGTTACGAGCGCAAAGTTCTTCTTTCCTAAATCGGTCCACCGTAGAATTTTCTTCCAACTTTCGCACCAACATTTTGACCAAATCCTTTCGAGAATACCTCGTTTCCTCGTCACGGTGATGTACGCCGCGATCGGATGCTCTTCTATCCAACGTTATCCACTACTTGTAGTAAAAGTACCTGTAGAAAGCTGCAACAGAAAGCATTATTTCATCGTAATTTTCTTGGAACCTCTCCATTTCGCAGAAAAATAGTTGGACTGCAATTATTCTTGATTACGAATACTCGATCGTGGGTTATCGCGGTCGAAAGGAAATTCTTTTCGCACCGCCTTTCCAGTTTGCCGAAACCTCGAAAACTTGTAAACATTACGGCCGTGCGAAAAATCTCGTCGAAATCCCTTTGGTACCTCTAACCGACATCAAATTTCCTCCCCAGAGAGAGAACAAGCTTCCCAAATAGTCGGTCGAACACGCCGCAACTCGGCAAAAGCAAACGGACCCTAGATTTCGTCGGCGACCAATGCGCAAACTTTCGCAACCAGGGCTACAAGCGTGTCTCCAAACAAAAGTTCCTTCATTTCCCGAGGATTCTGCCGCCAGGAACATTCCTCTGTTACAGGGTTATCCAGGAAACCGAAGGGACCGTATCGATTCCGATGAAAGGACTCCGCTCCGTCGCGTCGCGTCGCGTCGCGTCGTTTCGAGCGTATCGATTTTAAGGCAAGCGAATGCGAACCGGTTAACGAGAAGAAACAAATATTTCACCGATTTCCTACCTCGATCAAGCTCTCCGCGTTTAATTTTCATCTCGTGGCCAATTAGCCAAGTCCCGTTCTCGCGAGTAATCATCGGGACACCTGACCGTGTCTAACGAGAAATCGTCCAGGGGACCACTTCAAAGCTGCTAATTACGCGACCCTCGTCACCTTCGAGCTATTCCCTTCGTCCTTGTCCTTTTCATTTCACTGGTAAGTGCTCGCTTTTCTGGCAGCGCGTGCACATCGAGCTAACCGCGACGTTAACAATAAAGTTAACCAGCGTAGAGAAGAACAGAGAGGGGAGACGTTGGGATCCATTAAGCGGTCGAAAGGGTTGTGCCTGGACGCGTTCGTAAATTTCTGCCCCTCCAGGGCAGGCGCGTCCAGAGCACGACGCGACTAGTCGAGATTACTCCTCTTCTTCCATCGATTCGATTTCGAGGAAGCATCAACGTCGAATTTCTCAAGATACACCAGGAGAATCGCGTCGTTTTTCGTCTGTTCGCAGTTTCCACGAACTCCTCCTCGTTTTCAGTCCGTCGTTATGCGTCCCCCTCGGATAATTATTTCGCTCGAACGACACCCAATCGTCCCTTAAAAACCCTAAAGAGCCAGTTGCCTGGTTAGAACGCCGCGAAACAACGTCGTGGACGATCCCGATATTAGCAACAGCCACTTTCGTCGCGAATATTAACGAAAACGAGACAGCGGACGCGTCAACTTTTACGCGGTTCAATTAAATTATGCTTTACGCTCGTTATCTGGCCACCGCGCGGCGAATTAATCTTTCGAATTATCTCTATAGAACAGGCGGACCATTCCCACCGAGTTTCGGCCTCTTTTAACGCGTCTCTTACCCTCTTAGCCACCGGTTAATCACCGGTTGTTCCGCAGATTTACGTTCTCTCGTGCCGCGTTTACGTGCATTAACGAGCATAAAACGCTCGAAAAATAGATTCTCGCCGAGATCGCTGCCTGTATATTGCGCACCGATTTATTTTTACAAGCTCGGTTCGATTTTACCGCTTTTTACCGGTTCGTTTTATGTCGTCGAATATGTTCGACACGCAACTAAGAAGAAAAGAAAAATATTCACCGCAATGCCCTCGTTCAGATCGACCGAAGAAAAGAAACTTTTTAAAACGACGAACTTGACCGTGGACGCGCGTAACGTTGGTCTTCGGTCAGAGATCGGATTTTCATCGTTTCGCCGAAAGAAACGACCTTGCCATGGACCCGAACGACCTCGTAACACCTATTACGCCTCGCGAAGTAGCTCAAGTTAGGTTACGCGTAAACGAGTTTAAGTCACGAGGCCAATGAAATCACTTTCACTGACCCCCGTCTGTTTGTTTCGTTCTTATAAGCGGATTCCAAGGTTGAATCTTCCTCGAGGAAACCGGTATAGCTCTCTCTCTCTCTTTCTCTCTCGCCCGCTGCTCTTTCTCTTCCTTATCTTCTGTTTCTCTCTATTCGTTTCCGCATCGAACGTAACCCAGAAGCGGAAGCTTCGGTTCTTCCGTTTGTAGGAGAACCTATGATTAATGTCAGGGGATGGAGCGACTCGGTATTTCTATTTATTGTTTCGTACTACTGCTATTATCGGCGATAAACTTTCGTTCGTTATATTCGCACGTTGTAATTTTGAATTACAAGTTGTCGCAGTCGCTGTAAAGATGCGCTGTATCGATAGAGTTATTGCAACCAATCGCTTACCTACGCTTTTCCGTCTTATTCGTAAAGCGTTAATCGCACTTTGACTGGCAAACGCCCGCCCGCGATGGACGAGTTAGCGTGAATTAGCGTTTCGTTAGCGCATGACAAGTTAGTAGCAAAGGGCGAAGAGAACCGTTCGCGAACGTTGCCGAGAACAATGACCGTCGGTGAAAAATAAACAGATAGCTTTCTATTCTATATATTTCGATTAACGCGAAATAAATGTATAAAAGAACGATATTCGAGTATTTGTTGGAGGAAAAGGGTGGCTGGGTAACAAATAAATAGCGTTTTATTCACAAGTTAGGTGCACATGTAACAGCGATAAGTGCTAGGGGTTAGTGTCACCCCGAAAGTTAATCTTCGTCTTTGGTGTTAAGAGCAAACTCGTTGACTTTGTTGCGTATCTTGTCTGAGAGAAGCGTTTCGGCTCAGAATCCGATCGACGATTTACCTGGGTTGGGTGGCACGAATCCGTATCCGCTCGCGCCCACAATCACTCCGCTCGTGTCCGCGGAGTTCGGTGGCGGCCCCGGTGGAAATAACACTGGACCTGCGACACAAGTATTTCAAACCGATCGTTCGTTTCTCTTATCAAATTCCGCCTTTCTAGTAAACATTTAACGATAGAAAAACCGATATATGTATGTAACGTATATAGACCGATACATATAGATAATTCGAGCAACGCAAAATCGTTTTTACCAAATTTTCCAGACTTGTTTACGAAAGTTAAATATTTCATTGATAATTTTAATCGGTTAATATACCGTATTTTCTCGCGATCGCTCGATCGATACGTCGAGTCGTATCGTTAATCGGTTCAACTCACCGCTGGAATTTTCATCGGGTACAACGTTCATGAAAAATCGCGAACATATTTCGATCCGGGCTCGTTACCCGTTCGTCGAATCGAATCATCGTTACTTAAATACACAGTGTATCGATTAAATATCTATGTAATTTTAAACTCGATTATTTGCGATATTTATCGACTAGAATAATACATCGAAAGAAATTATTCCGGAATCGCGAAATTCTTTATATAAGAATCGAGTCAACCTTCACGGTCGTTGATTAAACGGAATCGGAATCGATCATCGGTGCGATTAGAAAAGCATTTCACGATCGTTAACTCGTTCAGTGGGTTGTTAGCTTTTTACGAAGATGTTTGACCAAGTTTCGTTCGGTCACGATCAATTCTAATCATCTCGACACATTTTTCTTACCGTGCAACGTGGACTTTTCTGTTCGACAACTATCGACAGAGGCGAGTTTCGCTAGTCGGCACTCGCAGGAAGGAAAATACGGCTTACCACGAACTATAGACGATCTAGCCGTAAATCGCTTTTCTACATATAGCAAACTTTATATACGAGAATCTCGACTACCTGTATAATCTTAACAATTGCTTTTCAAGGCAAACAAGCTGGAAATCCTTTCTAATCAGGAAGTAATTTTGCAGATTGTCGATTATCGATTATCGATCGCGCTAATGCTCGCGTAACGGCGCTCAATCAACGCGCAAGAAAATCGGTGCGACCGTTATCGTTGCGCAGAAAGTAATTGCGAAATTCTACCGACGCGACGAATCAATTCGGACAATTAAAAAAGGTGATCGGCCAGCATCAAATTATCTTTCGATCTTTATTTTTCGATCCACGTTCTGATTATGATCATGATCGTGATTTCAATTATGTAACGTTGTCGAACTCGTATCGATTTCCTAACTGTCGGATTTCACGGATCGTAACAGGCGATGCGTCAGTTTGTCCGCGTCGTCTACAATAGTCCAGCGTTATCTAAAAAAATCTCGTTCCGTGTCGCTACGTGTGCCGAGAGTCTACCGCGGTGCAAAAGAAAGCAGTTTTCGGTAAAAATCTTAATCGTACGAGCCCTAGAAGCACGATCGATAATAACAGTGCAAGTCAGCATTTCTTTAGCCAGTTACCGACATTTATTGCTAGAGGATTTGAACTTGGCATCCGTCGAGGCTCGCGTATCCTGTTTACGAGTAGATCGACGCGTGTGTCGGTTAAATGTCAGATCCACGAGACGGCCTTGGATGAAAAGTGGAAGACAGGAAGTACTCGTTCCCGCATCTCTCGCGCGATCGTTTAAACGATGGAAGCAAGGACCGATTATCGAGGAAAAATAGGACTCTAATATTTACGAATAGGAACTTTCCTTTTCTTTCCAGTCTATTATCCGGTAATGATCGGCAGATGCTAATCGCGTGTTCGTAAACCTGTTCCGAGCAGAAGTATAGTTCGCAGGATACCGACGCGTATCTCGTACGACTCCTTCTTCCTCGTCGTTCGTTTCTACGGAGGTTAAAGACAATCTACTTTACAATCGCACCGTGGCTCGCCAACAACGTGGACAGAATTTAATTAGTAGGCGAACTCGCGAAACCAATTCTCGTCACCGAGATCGCTTTTGACAGCGTTTAGATCGTAATCAGAGATTGCCGCGCGAAATAGCGAAGGTAAATGAAAAAGGACATTGTCGGGAGAGAATCGAAGGTTCCGAAGAACAATGGCGTACGCTGTTACTCCGCATATTTCTCCCAGTGATTCGGAATCGAGTTCGTAACTTGCTTCTTAGAAAGGAAACTATCGACCTATCGACTGCACCGTTCTTATTTATTATCCTCTGTTCGTTCGTTTGTTCGCGAATTTTCAACTACTCGATCAATGGCAACGAGCAGCCTAAATACGACAACTTGTCCGATACTTACCTCTGTTCGATCTTGGATCTCTCATCGCCGAAGTTTCGCCTAGATACGGTCCGAATCCTGCGAAGAGTTGACTGTAGTCTTGCGACGAAGCCACTGCCAACACCGTTATCACCAACGTCACCAGAATTGTCTGCAACATCAATTTCCTCTGTTAGTCGACCAACCGTCCACCTCGTGCGAAGAAAATTCTCGTTAAACGTTCCTTTCTATTCATATTAATACACGGGCGTTTTCGAATCGACCCAATTAAGTATCCTCGATTGGCGAGTGATTCGACGAAAATTGCGTAGGAACTTCGAATTGCACCGAATCGCGATCATAAATAATTTACTCGACAAATCGAAAGCTTTTCGATTATAATTTCAATTCCGTCTCTAGAGAGAGCCCGTAACGTTCCATTCGACTCGACTCGATTCGATTCCGTAGCAGCCGGAATCAAAGCGACTATTAAGGTCGCAAAAAGACCGATTAATACGCGATCGGATGGAATCGCGTGTATTCGCCATTCGACTGTGGCTACTACGTGACAATTTTTACGAGCGGTTCGTCGGTTAACAATCGCCGCGGAGAATTTATGGTCCAATATATACCGCGAATAAAATCAGCAGCCGGGTTCTCGTTCGTTTAAAATACCGTTACTTTTCGCCGACGTTTCTATTCGAACAGAAAGTTTGTTCGAGTTTCGCTACCATTCGCCTTCCTCGTTGAGCGTCGGCTTAATAAATTAGCCGGGGATGAATTACGACGGAGCGAGAGCAAAGTGTAATACGAAGGTGCTTTACGGAACACTGTCTTGTTAACGCGTAGTAAACCGACCGAATGCAACGTGGTAGGTCGTGCTGGCAAACGTATAGATTGGAATTATCGAATTTCAAATTCGCTAATTTACGCGTCGCTAATTTACGTCTTTAAAGAAGTCGTCGAATCGATCGATGATGAATCTTTTCATTGAACCGATCGTTACGTAAAACCTGATGAAATCGTTACGAGACTTTACGATTCCATGGACACGGACATAACGAGCAAACGAATAATTGCGTGCTCGGATCATGCTGATTATCGTTATTAAGTAAGCCGCGCCACCGCGTTTTCATTCTTCTATCGGTTTTCTCGCGCTGAAAGCAAGGTGAACAGAGAGACACGTAATCGCCACGCGATTTCCTCCCAGCTTGACACAATGTCAAGGAGTTTAATTGTTATTCGAACGTGTGAATCGTGGTCGTCGACGATACACGTTTATAATAGGTACGGTGATTCGTACAGATTACTTCGAAACCTTAATTAACCATGTTTAATTGATCCCTGTACTAGCGTTTGTTACTTATCAACTTCGTTCTTGCATGCTCGAAAGAATGGTGTAAAAACAATCGGTATTTTCCTTCGAGCAGCCTTCTGCGAAAAAAATGCAAAAACGATGACAGGAAGTTGAACGGTTTTTCTTTTCGTCGATCGGTTCAGAAGAATTACTTGCGAGGAGCACTCGAAACTTGGAGTCTGGTAAATTTCACATCGGGAATAACTGGTAGATAGGAAAGCAAGGTCGAGGTAATCGAGCGAATGCAAGGACAGCAAAGTATCTGGAATATACATATGTATACCTGGTATACCTGGTAGAATGCAGTCGATTCAGTCTCGTAATTATAAATACGAGAACATTTTATTTTCCTTTATGCAATCGTAAATAGACGTTAACCGAGGAAGAATATGAAATCGGTGCGTGACATAGGCCTTCGTCGGAACAATCGAAAAGCGATAAGAACGTAACGATACGTAATTCCGAGGAGGTTCAATTATCGAAACTTGAAGAAAAATATTCGTTCGTTGGATGCGATGTCATAAAGCGATTTTTCTTCCTTTTTAAAATATTCATTTCTCAATAGGTTAGTTAAGAGTAGCAAAAACGTTTGAGAAACCTGATCGTACACGTATAACCATAACTTTCTCCAACGATCATGAAACCGAGCGATAATCGTGTTCCCAGACTGGAACGTCCCGCTCGAGGAAGCCTCGTTGTTACGACATATCGATTATTAGTCGACGATCAATCGAAAAAAGAAGGTCGCGCACGGTATCGAAAATACGGCAAAAGAAGAGGAGGATCGGAAAAAAAATGGAACTAGCGGCGATGTTCGAGTCGCGAGGTGTTGGACTGTAAGGTACGAAGGCACGAGGTCGCCCACAAACCGCGGCACACATGTGCGTGCACCGTGACGACGGATCACGCGGTAGTGATACTTAAGCCAACGCGCGTTGATAATCGCGAGGAGAATCGCGCGTACACGCTTGCCGAGCAAACACCGAGTAATTTATGCCTTGAGTTGCTTGCGAAATAAATCGTAAACGTTCAAATCTCGATGCGTTCGATCAAATTTTCGTTGGCCAATTAACTACGTACCTAGATATTTTTCAATCTTTCGACTGCTTTTAACGTCTTCGTACGTTACGACGAAAGGGACGAAGATCGGCCGCTTTAAAAGAACAAGCAGCGTTGGTTCCGCTTTAAGGGAAACTCGGACGTAAGATTCTTGGAATTTTTTCCACAGTTCGTCGAAGAGATTACGTGTTCCTTCAATGAATCAGAAGCTGAACTAGTTTTACTCGTAGCATAGTACGTGCATTAATGCCAGTTTTTTCCAAGTACGTACTACAGTACTCGTAAGCAAGACTGGAATTATCATTGCCAAGCAGAATCAGAATTAGAATCAATTCGAGCTTAAGGAATCTATACTTTATACTATTCTATTAGTTTTCGAAGCAAAATACTTTTCTGCCGTTTCTATACGTTTCGTGCGCTCTATACATAATTTCACGGTTACGTAACACCGGCCAGGAAAAGCGTAAAGTATTATCGATTGTTCGGAACAGAAGCGAACCGCGTCTCGAGTTTCTCGATGCGCGATGCATCTTCGAGCGCATAACGCTCGATCGCACTCGAGACTCGAATGCTTCCGCGTTTAACGTCGATGGAACAGGCTGTTCCTTCCCGTTTCTTCGAACCAACTTCTACGTCGTTAATAACGATCGTAGCGATTCAGTCGCATCTAGAAGCCGGATGCGTCGTTGCATAATGGAGAAACGGGTACGATAAACGAAAGTACGATGACTTTTATCCGACGTCGTGCAAAAATATTCAATCCATTAATTGGTCGTTTCAGCTTGTTTCGTAAACGGTTCTAATAAATAATGATTCGTCGAGCAGCGAGCAAATTAGGCGTATCACGGTAATCCGTAACGCGATCGAAATATTCGGTTTCGCGAGGAACATAACGAAATATGCGTTCGTTAACTTAGCTCGAATTTCGAAGTCTGGCGTCATATCGTTGTGGGTCAGAGGACAGTATCCAACGAAGATTACATATCGATAATTGCGAAGGAACGACACGAAAGCGGCGACGTAGACCCAATAGCCAAGTCGTCCTACTTTCTAATCACGAACACGTTCATTTTCTAACACCTTTGGTCCCCCTTTCGCGCAATAACTGGCCCATCGCCAACAACGAAATCCCTCGCTACGATTGCGAGAATCGTGCCGCGTTTAGGACGAGATCGCGATCGACTCGACTTTCGCTTCGTACGAAAATTTTTCTTACGTTTCGGCTCTGTCGATACAGGTGTGTGCGTGTGCGCGCGCGCGCGCGCGTGTGGATAGAATGGAAGTAGGCTTTCCGAATTACGTTTCGAGCTTACGTTACGAACGCTCGTTACGAGATCGCTTAGAGATTAGAGAGTCGAGAGGAAAATGACCGCAGCCGACTAGAGGAATCTTACAACTAGTATTCGCGAGATCCGTCCAAGAGTGTCTTCCAAGATCCCTGGAACGATGCCGTGTTCGGTCACGCCACAATGGCCTTTTGTTTCTGTGCAGGTATATTCTTGAAACACGTTCGCGAAATTATTACACAGGCGTTATACAATTTCCCCGGTTAGAAGTTCCCTACTCCTCCATCTTGCCATCACTAACGAATTCCGTAGCTCGAAATTAGGGGTTTCTCCTCGTTTCGCTGGAGAATTTTCAGTCAGCATTTTCTGAACGTTCGATCTTGATTATTCCGTCCGTTGCACAATTGTACCGGCTATCGTCGAAAACGAGCCTCGGACCGAGTTTCACGGGAAATAAACCGACACGATTTCCTTCTTTCACGGCATCACCGTGACGCGAATCTCCGATCAAACATCTTTTATCGTAATACGAATTACGCGGCAAAGCGCGCTTTCGAATTTTCGCACAAACCAAACAGGTTGGTCAAAATCGAGAGAGTAACGTTAATTACCTGTTATTTTAACGGCTTTCAAATTTTCAGCGATACAGATTGTTAAGTCGAAATTGAAACGCGAAACAAAAGAAGGTAGACGATTTTCAGCCATAGGTTATGCAAACACGAATGCAACGGTGCAACGAATGCATCGCGTTCCCTTCTATGCATCGTTCTCGATGTGGAAATTAGACACTCGCGTCGTAAATTCGGCTTGCAACACGCCCCACGAAACTTGGAAAATCGTGAAAATCGTTACCGATCCTCCGACGCTTCTTTCGTCGCGAAACAATCAAAATTTTTCCATCGTATCTATATCTCGTCCTTTCAAATTTTCATTTTCGACGATTCCCGACTAAATGTCAAAAAACGTTTCTAATAGTTTCGAATAAATGATATAGACCTCTTCCGTGGTTGGGCGGGAAAAGAACGATCAATTTAGGAGAGTTATTTAACGAATATCATCGTGCACATGCAACACGAAAGTAAGAGTCGGTAACATTGTCTACGAGCAACACATGGGCGTGTTGCAACGATTCTGTTCCAAGTGTAATCTCGCGTGCTCGTAACGTACGTGCATTCCTTGTACATACATATGTACGTTGCGCGACAAAAGACACGCGTGAAAATCAACTGTTTTACACACGTAGTTGGCTGTCGCGAAGAAATGTTCTATTTGTTTTACGAGCTCGTCTAAAACGAAAGACTTTCGAAGAATTTCTTGTCGAGTACAATAAATATAACGAATCGGTAGGCGGAACGATACGTCGCATCGAACTAACCTTTTATTCGCTCGTTTTCAAGCGAATCGTTTCGAGCGTGAATTTTAGCGAACGTTCGAAGGACATACAATCTTCCGTAAGAAGTATTTATATCGATGTTTGAACTAACAACCAACCCACGATGTCATTATGTATTATACATGTAACACTTATGACCCGTTTACCGTAATACCTGTACACGTACATTCTTCGACGTATAGTTCACGCGAGCCGACTTCCGTGAAAGCTATATTATCGTTCAAACACCGTATTCTACTCGAGACGAGCTTCGTATGAAATTGCTCGGAAAATAGAGGCAACTGGCGACGATGCCCGTATGTTTCTAAAACTTTCGAAACTTCGGAAACTACCAAATTATCTCGTTAGTTAAGATTTCTCTAATTTCACGAAGAATATCGAAAGTCGAAAGAATATCGAACGCTTCGAACGAGAAACGCTTGAAAAGAAGAAGGCGAATAGAGTGGAAACGTAGATCGAAGGGAAACTCCTCCCGCTGGATTAGCTATCCGCGGAAGAAAGCCTACGTTGCGGTCGATCGGTCGATTACCGGCAATTAATTGGAACCTTGTCCAGATAGCAGTTACCGGATAGCATTACATCACCGGTAATCGAATCGACCCGCGAAAGGGGTGAACTAGTTTTCGAGAGGAACGTGAAAGGGAAGGATACTTCCGATCGCACGCGCCGACACGGTTCGACAACCGCGAGGAAAAGTCGCATAGAAACATTTCTCCGTACTGGTTAACAACATAAATAAACGGTTAAACGAAAAATCCGTCTGCCGTTCGTTCAACGGTTTTCGAAAAATCATTCAGACATCGCGAGCAGGTCGTGTTCTTCTTTCCTTTCGAATTCGTTCGCGTTCCCGCGAAAGCAGGAAAGTTACGCTGTTTCTGAAAGCAGTCATAAAATTGAATATACCGTTTCCCGCAACAGTTACGAGGTTAATTACTAAATCGCCGAGTACGAACTTTGGAAACCCGTCCGTTACGTGTTAGCCATTTCTCGCCCGTATCCGGTCACCGATGCTAAATAAATCGGAAAAATGATAACCGTTTCTCGATCGTGTACAACGACAGAAAATTGTTCGCGTTTAAACGTTCGAACGGTATTGGAATTTTTTTAAACGCGTCTGTACAGGTATCTATCTGCTGCTTCGTCGCGTTTTGCTTGAACAAGAAAGAACTGCGACCGCAGGGGAAATCGTTAAAACAATTGTCGCACCCCATCGAATCATCGAGAGGTTTGCAAAATAGAACACTGTCTCTTCCCTCCGTGTACGCGTAGCCGCGTGATTTACGGAGTAGGGCGGAGCTACCATTTGCCGACGAGGATAAAAAGAGAACAAAAGAATGATAAAACATCGATGAAATCGGCCTTTCAACGGTATGACTAATCGAGCTTGGCAACGCGAACGCCGGCTAAATAGAATTTATGTAGACCGGGGTGAATCGTTGGGAAATTTCGTTCGGCGAAAGCACGAGAACTGCCGTCGATGTATTCGCGATTAGGGATGGCGGAAAAGCGAAGCACCAAAACCGCTGGTAAATATTCGACGGTGTCCGCGAACAAGAATTTATATCCCCTGCGCGTAAAAGGGCGTAAAAGGGCGCGAAAGGATATTTTAATTGAATGCTCGTTCGATCGTGTACCGCCTTCGAAGATATTCGATCGAAATTTCGACAAATTCCGCTCGGAATATCGTAATAATTTGTTCGGTTTCGTCGCGAGAAAAACCGCTGTTACACTAAAGAATTTATCAATTTGTTTCGTGCATAAAAACACTGTACCGTGAAACGCTTAAAATCGTTAAAGCAGAGAATCACGATCGCGAGATTCGCGTGTCGTTCACGCACCAGATCTTTTTCTAATCGATCGAAAATATTCAAATCTGTTACCACGGTGCTTGTGCAATCGCTAGAAATCATAGACGGTTTTTTACCCCGATTTCAACCTAACGACTAGTTGGAAGCTGTTGAACGATTAATCGTTCTTCTCGATACGTTACTAGTAGCACGAAACCTAACCAATCATCTCGTTCGATTCCTTTGGAAGCGATACTTTCTCCGTCGACGATATTCGATGATTCCCTGCCGTCGACAATTTTCATTTCGATTCTTACGAATGAACGAGGAAACGAGTATATATTACTTCTGAAACCTCTTATTTCGCGTTGCAAAAGCGTTCGCTAATGCATTTTGCTTAACAGGTCGTCGAATCGTTGGAAAATCTCGGCGCACCACCGTTCGAAAGTTTTCCACGTCGGATCGTTGGAAGTTCCTGTCGACGATTATACCGAAACAGCGGATTAATATCCCGGCAATTATTTCGCAATACGCTATCGAATCTCAGCGATCGGATCGCGTGACCAGAACCGACTCGAAGCCTTTTTCGTTTTATATCTATCACGCTTTAATAGACCGCGTGACTATTTGGACATGCTGGAATAAGTAAATCGAACAAATTAAACCCAGTCAGATTTGTTCGCGCGAGTTTGTCGAAATTTTCCAACGGTCGTAATTATCGCTGTAAACGGTCTTCGTATCGTTTGTCCTGTTCGACATAGAAAATCAAAGTATATCGAGAGATACGTTCGAATCGAAAATTGTCAAATTCGTAAATCTTAGAGAGAGGAGGTTACGTACTTGGGAGGATCGTCTACTCGACAAACTGGTTCGGTACGCGTTACATAATTGTCGAGCAATCCGGCGCAGCGTATCCTCGCAGACGCGTTAGTCGAACAGCAAATGCTACGATAGCCTGGGGCAAGGACGTGAACCTGTCTCGCCGACGGCTACGATATCGTGAATGAACCACGTCCACATTACGGATTTCCTCTCTTCCTACCTGCGCTTAAGTCCGTTCAACTTCCTCTTATAGATACCGCCGAGGATACCGCCGAGGATACCGCCGAGGATACCGCCGAGGATACCGCCGAGGATACCGCCGAGGATACCGCCGAGGATACCGCCGAGGATACCGCCGAGGATACCGCCGAGGATACCGCCGAGGATACCGCCGAGGATACCGCCGAGGATACCGCCGAGGATACCGCCGAGGATACCGCCGAGGATACCGCCGAGGATACCGCCGAGGATACCGCCGAGGATACCGCCGAGGATACCGCCGAGGATACCGCCGAGGATACCGCCGAGGATACCGCCGAGGATACCGCCGAGGATACCGCCGAGGATACCGCCGAGGATACCGCCGAGGATACCGCCGAGGATACCGCCGAGGATACCGCCGAGGATACCGCCGAGGATACCGCCGAGGATACCGCCGAGGATACCGCCGAGGATACCGCCGAGGATACCGCCGAGGATACCGCCGAGGATACCGCCGAGGATACCGCCGAGGATACCGCCGAGGATACCGCCGAGGATACCGCCGAGGATACCGCCGAGGATACCGCCGAGGATACCGCCGAGGATACCGCCGAGGATACCGCCGAGGATACCGCCGAGGATACCGCCGAGGATACCGCCGAGGATACCGCCGAGGATACCGCCGAGGATACCGCCGAGGATACCGCCGAGGATACCGCCGAGGATACCGCCGAGGATACCGCCGAGGATACCGCCGAGGATACCGCCGAGGATACCGCCGAGGATACCGCCGAGGATACCGCCGAGGATACCGCCGAGGATACCGCCGAGGATACCGCCGAGGATACCGCCGAGGATACCGCCGAGGATACCGCCGAGGATACCGCCGAGGATACCGCCGAGGATACCGCCGAGGATACCGCCGAGGATACCGCCGAGGATACCGCCGAGGATACCGCCGAGGATACCGCCGAGGATACCGCCGAGGATACCGCCGAGGATACCGCCGAGGATACCGCCGAGGATACCGCCGAGGATACCGCCGAGGATACCGCCGAGGATACCGCCGAGGATACCGCCGAGGATACCGCCGAGGATACCGCCGAGGATACCGCCGAGGATACCGCCGAGGATACCGCCGAGGATACCGCCGAGGATACCGCCGAGGATACCGCCGAGGATACCGCCGAGGATACCGCCGAGGATACCGCCGAGGATACCGCCGAGGATACCGCCGAGGAAGCAAAACATTTTTCCACGTCGGTATTTCGACCGAATAACAAACGAATCACGAACGATAGACTTCCGATCTGTCGAGGTTTATCCGCGTTACGGATGTCGCCATCGAACTCGACGACCGATTTGCGCGCGTATTCTCCTCTAAAGTAAAACGATTCGTTCGTCCGACTTGCAACATCGAGGAAGTCGCGTGCGGTTCTCGTTAAAATTACCAATGCAAATAACATTGATAGCCAGTTCGTAATTATTATAGAGACGATAGATGTACAGATACGTAGATATCGAAAATATCGATATCGAGAAACGACGTTTCGCGATGTATGATTTCAGAAACGGGGATATAGAAAGTCTGAGCTGAACTCGCGAACTTGCTGTTTTTCACACTTTTACTACTAAAAGACAAGCGCGCTCTCCCTTTTCTATCGGACGATCTTATCCAAACTCCAGTCGGAATTAAAATCGATGCCTCGGAAGCGAGAAAGCAAACTACGATTACAAACGTAACGGACGCAACCGATAATTCAAGATTAGCAGACACAATCGTTAACGTAGAAAGTTAGCACAGCGTGAAAGGTTTCTAGGAGAACCGCTCCTAGCGAGCTAATTTATATAACCGCTTCAACGAAAAAAAAAATATATATCTCGGTTTGCTAATGACAATGTTTTTTAATCACCCAAAGAAAGTATCGACGTAGCGCTCGCGAGGAACCATTGCTAATTGGCCGATAAACTTTGGCCGAATACGAAAACTGATCTTATATTTTATTGGAAAATATCGTTGTATCCTGGTTTCCTTCGTTTTTAATCTGTTTATTAAGAAGAAATTTCTCAGCGAAATCTGACACGGCGATTTAATTATTCTTTCGTAAGCAACCTAACACGACGCAACAGAAGAGAAGAATAAAAATCGGATGCTCGAAAGCGATTAAAACGATCGATGATCGATAAAGCTATTCTCACTCGTAAGAACGTCATACTGGTTTCCTGCGTCGATCCTCGAGGCTGGGTCCAACTACCGTCTCCGATCGTTTCGAACTGTACACCTCATTTCCCGCCGAACGGCCCGCGATTCTACTCGAAACGCGAGTTATCAGTTCGCGTGCAACCCGAACACGCGCCGTTTAACGTTTACGATCTTCCGCTTGCCCACGAGACGATAGACCGAACGGAACAGAGTCAGCAAGAGTCGAGTTCACTATAAAAGCGTGCGATCTACTCTCGGGAAAGTCTACCCCTCCAATCATCTAGTCGCCCCCTCCAATTAATTGTACGCTAACAGACGATGACGAGCCGCGTCGCGCGAGGATCGCTGCTGACCCTGCACTACAAACAAGCTGCAACCAACAATTTCGATTACTCTTTGACACGTAACGCGACAACGCGCCTTTCACGAATATATCAGCTTGCCACTATTTACATTCTTCAATTTTTCGCCTGCAATTTCATCCCTTATAAATTAAACACTTTTCGTCGAGAACGTTTCTGCTTCCGCTGTCGGACCTTTCTTTATAGAAAGAAAAGAATCTCTGTTTTTCACTTACGGTCTTCATGACGTCGACAAGGCAGTTACCGACGAATCGTAACGTTACGAACGAACGGAACTAAATAGCGATAATCCACGTTTCCCCGAACGGAGTAAGAATGGTGCTCCTCGGCAGGGTACGGTTGGCCTGGAAGGTCGAGCAGACAAGAGAATCGCGTGTAAAGTAAACGGTGACGATTAAGGTGGATCGTAGGTGTATGCACAAGCTACGTACTTGCCGTACTGGGAACGTTTGACGCTAAGTGGGGGCTGTTCCTGGGACTTATATGTCGTCGCTGGAGGCCAACGTGACTCTTTGTCCCTGCCCCTCTCGACTTCAGGTGGGTCCGAGCCCCTCTGGCATCGAAGCCCTTGACGATGGTCAAGGTGACCCCTGCCTCGCGGCTAGCACCACTTCGTCGAACGGTCCGAGAGATCGCTTCGGGGAAATCGTGACACGATGTGTCTTCGATCGCTGCACGCAAGGTTCGCCTCGATTCCGTGTTCGATCGATGCTGGTGCCGCTGCCGTTGTTTTTGGACAACGAAGGTCGTCTTTTCGAGGATCTCTTTCTTCTCGAAACGATCGGTCGAAGGGTGCTATAGCCAGGGAAGATGTCGGCGAAACCTCAGCAAATTTCGATTCGTATAGGCAGAAGGAAGGCGGTGTATTCGCGTGGATCGTAACGACGTTCAGAGGTAACGGTTAAAAAATCACCACGTGAAAGTACATAATGGCTCTCGGTATAAAGTAGCTCGATGGTGTATCTCGAAAGTAATAGGGAAGAAAGTTATGGATCTGTAGCGCGATCGAAAGTACCGGTCAATTGAACATTGTTCGATATCGCTGGAAAATATCGCTATCGACTTGTAAGCCTTCCTTTTATCGCTTTCTTTTCGTTATCGATTCGTGCACGCATCGATACTACATTAATAAGCGTAACAGTTCACGATTATTCCTGGGTATTGCTCTAAAAGATGAACTTACGTTGTTCGAACACGAAACGGGATTTTATCGCGTACGCCGTTTGTTGCCATTTCCTACGCGATTATTCGACTAATCGATTCCACGTGCCGCGGAACAGAAGAATCGAAGAAAAAAGGAGAACGATGTAAGATCGGAGGAACGCGATCACCGTTGCAAAATCGAATTAGCCACGCGATCTCTATTAAAGCGTCACTCGCGACATCCCGGTGACGTTTTCGAACGATTACAGCACCGCGATCACGATCGGAATCCGGATCTCCGAACGTGATTAACCGCGTCAGACGAGATTCAAGATCGCGTCGCAACCGCGTCTAATATTATCGGAATTCGGAGTTACGCCTAACTTAAACGCTATTGTAAGACGAAATCGTGGCAAAAACGCGCGTAGTCTCGCGTTCTGACATTTTCTAGACGTCTGCTCGGTCTAGACGTTCCCCTACAGCGATTTGTCCTGCTCGTCCAAGGAAAAAAGCGTGAATTCACGCTGACGCGACCGATCTTACCGATAGAAGCGAAGAATAGAGACCTCTCGGACGGGATATTTGCCTGTTTTTTCTCCTTTTTTCTTTCGCGCCGTCTAAGCGGTCCGTGGAAAAAATTGTTTTCATCGACCGAAAGAGCAATACGGTGTCATTGTTAATCGCGCGATCGATGGATATTACGGAGACGGCTGCAAATGAGCAAAACCTATAATAACATCGTTTATTCGATCGCGTTTCTAACCCGACAACGTAACGTTTACGACGAATAAAATCGGCACAACGATAGAAAGGTTAGCTCGTAAACCCGAAACGCAACCTACGTACATCGAAAACGCAGCAACGAGCTGCTACAGCACAACGATCCGATTAACGCGAGCACCATTATCTTGTCGAGAGGTAAGCCTTTGCCGTCTGAAAGCGTTGCAAAAGTTCGCGCTAATGCTCGGTTATTAACGAGTTCAAGTTTTCCTAATAACCATTCGCTCTTTAATCGAAAGAACGGATCCTAACGATTATCTTCGGTTACCTAACCGCTATTCGTAACATCCGAACTACCGTGAACGTACGTTGCCTTTTTATCCCGATAGAAGGAGTACCTTATCAACCGTACCAATCTACGACCTTAACCCGATAATTATTACCGTGCTTTCATCCACGAAGCGGTTCAACGAGAAGATCAATGACTATCCGATATCGCGTCGAAGGTTAATCCTTGTATCCTTGAATCTTCAGTGCTCTTCAATTTAATTCTCTTTACCGAAAGATATCGGACCTTTCCCTCCTTCGTACTCGTAAGCTTCAAAGCGTCGTTCGTTAATTTTCTTGCTTCGCTAAAGTCGCAAACTATTTCGTAAGAATACCAGTTCGAGAAAACGCGACGCGCGAGGAGCCAACGCGAAAGAAACGACGCTTGTTAAACGACGATAAATTAAATGCGCGAAGTGTATGCTACCTGTGCGAGATACTCGAAGGAATCTCATAAACCTCGGTAGGAAATTCTTTATTAAAACATTTATCTAGGAATTTAGATCAGTAGACATGTCACGCGAGCGATTATCCGTGAAACCTGTTTGGAATAATAACTCGCATACCGTTCACCTTCTTTACGATGCACTTTGTCCCAAACAAAGTTTACGTACGTTGCTCTTAACCCTTTCGCTACTAAGGGCGATTACAGCGGTTCGCCTTGAAACCACCGACCAATATTTCGATGTTCGGTACACGTGTACGAATAGAACAATAGTCGCTATCGCGAGGCATTAGATCGGCATCGGTCGGAATTCGAAGGAAACATGCTCGACGCGTTGCTCGTCGAGCGTAAAAATGAAATTTCCTCCGAAATGTTACGCGCGAAACATTCGAGCGATACAGTCGAATTACGCGAGCCCAAATTGAATTTCGAAAGTACGAGAGATCGCTTGTATAGTCGGCTCCGTAGAATCATGATTCCGTTCGTAATAGATTATTTCAGCCGATCTCGATCGTTCGATCCCATTGTCCTTCCACTTTCGATTCTTAGGCCATTTCCTCGTTGAATTGTCGCGGTTAAGTGGAGCGAACAGGGAGAACGCAGAGACAAAAACGAAAAGACCGAAGGACAACGACGCGACGAACCGGTCAATTATCGCGCGATACGTGTACTCGTAAAATTGGAAAATTAATTGCGCGGGTCGTCGACAAGGATCGTTACGAAAGTCTAACGAAGGTTTAGTCATTGAACGAACTGGAAAATCGAATCGGAGCACGAGACAAGATTCCGTCACCTTGATTATCGATTCTCTACTTTTTTCGTTTTAATCGAAAGTTGTCGAACCGTTCAAACGATTCTCGACGATCCTGTATTTCCATCTGCGCGTATAATCGACTCGTTCCAAGTCCGAATACGCGGTCAAATTAACGGCAAATGGAACACGAGACCGTACATGCAAAATCATCGTGCAAGGTGTTTCTGGTTGCCTTCTGGTGCGGCCTGGAAAACACGGACAAAATTCTTCCGCGTGACGGTTCGACGCAAATCACACCTTGATCCAATAAATCGTAACCGCTCGATAACCGATACATGTTTCTACGTTCTCCAGCTGTTCGATCGTTTAATCCGAAAGAAAAAAAAAGAAACAAATATTCGATGAATGAAAGAGCTGTTTTAATTGAACCAGTCCATCGACGGTACCGTCTCGAGGATCGATCGTGGCATTGAAAATCCGACCGAGCTAATACTGTCTCGCGTCGCGTTGTACGCGAACGATTCGATGGTTAGAATAATTCCGTTACTTTTTCCTATTGGAGCGAATCGAAATTGTCGTCGGTGAACTGTCCCGAAACTCGGAAAACATCGAAGATTCGGCAAGAAATCGTCGTCGATCGGTCGACGAAGAGAGACGACGACCGACCTTGAACCGGCCACGCATTCCGTCAGTCCTTGATACGCCGGAATCGTCTCGGTATAATTTATGAGAACGTTCAGCAGTCTATTCCGTTGCCGGAACCGTGATCCGTCACGTAGAGGAGCCGCGTATCCGCGAAGTAAGCGGTTTCGACTCGCAAACTGAGTCATACGATCTGTCGCTATTTTTGCATGTCGTGATACATCGCGTAGACACGTTTCGCGATGAATGAAACAGTTACATCCTTTTCCTGTTCGTTCCGTCGAGCAGCGATAAATCTGGTTCACGAAATTCGCCGAGAGTTCGCGTCACCACCGGAAGTGGACGTTCCTCGGGCTTCCGTTCTAGACGGATTCAGCTCATGGACGTTCGATGCGCGTGACGCGCCGAGTAAATTGCTGGTTTGTTACTCGGAAGGCGGTGCAAACCAGCGAACAAGCAATTAGAAATACGAATGCACCTTTTTATGAGGTCACCGCGTTGCCTTCGCGCGACAGGCTCGTTAGTCGATTTTCCATCCTCGATTCTCCTTCGTCGACGATTCTATTCCACGAAAACTTTCGATCCGTTCAACCTTCGAGCGAAAACTCGTTCCGTTCGATCATCACGATTACGCTCTCCTTCGTCTATTCGCGAAAATCAAGATTAACTAAAATCGAGCGACACCGTCCCCGTTCGTTTCGCGTTGGCGCTTCATTTCCCATGAGTAAACAATTGCGAAAAATTGTAGAAAATCGTGAGAACCTATTGTCGAGACACGAGAGAAATGCAAGGACGCGTAACGCGTTGACGCCTCGCATTGCAGAAATATCGTACATGGTTCGGTGAAATAATCTGCTCGAGAGAGCTGCTCGAGCCGTCTAAATTTGCGTAACAGTAAATTCCACGAGGTACGCGATCCAGCTCTTTGATCGAACGATTACGACACGCTCGCGTCAAGAGTGTACGCGCGCAATCAAATCCCGTCAACGAAACTGGCAATTTCGCGTCAAAGTAAACGAACACTCTGTCACGACCGACAGTTTTATCATTTCGTCGTAGCGGTTCGAATTAGCGGCTCGCACGATTCGAATAATCGGACGATTGCAATTTGCCAGATTATAACTGCAACCGTCGATAAATCGCCTAACTTCGTTATCGTCGCTGTTTTCCCATTTACGATACGAAATACCAACATCGCGTAAGCCAGGAAAATCAATATTCCGGACACTCGGTAAAAAAAAAAACCGGTACATGTGGCGCCATCTCTCCGGCGAACGGGCTGAACTACACGCATCGGATACACCTGCTTGGTTAGTTCGTTTCCTCTACGGCTAGATGGCGCAACCTGTATCGTCTACGGAACACTTTATCTTATGGTTGACACGATCGATAACGATTGACCAGGTAGTGCCATCTAGCGGGAGGAGGAGCGAACTAATCTAGCAGGTGTTTCCAATGCGTGTAGTTCAGCCCGTTCGCCGGAGAGATGGCGCCACTTGTACCGTTCTCAGGTGCAGCGTTCGATTCTCTATGTATTGTTGGTAGAGCAACTTGCGAGCGTGAAGAAAACGTAAAAACGCGTAATGTTGCGAGAAAATCCAACTCTTTGTTGCGTTAGTTTCGTGTTTGGCCGCTAGAGAACACCATCGGTAATGTTTTCGGACAACAAGCGCGAGAATTCAAATGTTATAATACATGTAAGAACGAAATCCAGGACGATAATTATTCCAACGTCGTCCTTCACGTAGATCGTATCGATCGATGTACTTTGGCTGACAACCTGTACCCTTGCCTACTTCACGATTGTAATCGTGAGTAACGTTCCCTGATTCTCTATCGATCGTATCAGCGATCAGTAATTACTCTAATTGCGTTAACCGACTCTGCATCGTCGGTTTTAGATCAGCGTTGATTCATCGTCTTTCTCGTTCTTGAACATAAGTTCGTGCGCTTTCGATGCATACGTAATTAACAATTTTAACGATCCTCTTTCGAATTAACAAACTTATCTCTCAACAATATCTCGAGATTGTCCTTCGCTATCGTTCGAGGAATAGAGTCGAAACGATTACAGATTACAGTCGAGATAATCTTCTTCGCGATTCTTTCGACAATAAGGCAGTATACGTTATTTAATCGTGAATACGGTTAATATTTAAATTGTCATCAGTTTCGCGAGTTAAAAACGCGACAATAAATTTTCTTCTCGACGACATTATCGTTGCCAAGAACGGTAATTTTCTGCTGTCTACACGGGAATAGAGACGCAAAAGAAGGTTGAACGTTACTCAATCGCGAGTACACGCGAGCTGACAATGACTGCGTAATACGGAGAAAACTCGTGGCGAAAAGTCTCGAACACCGATGCGTTACCTGTTATACACGGCACCAACTATTGAAAAGACGTGTCGTGCGCGTCCTCTGCTTCCGGCTCTTCGGTTCATTACGATCTTTTCGAAAATTTCCTAAACGGTGTAACGTATTTTTATATACGGTCCCTCGTATTCTTCGAACGCGTACAAAGAGTATCGAAGAAAGAAAGAGGCGTGAAGCGTCAACGAGGATCAAGTCGTTTAATTATCGTCTGTCTCGTATTACAATTTAAATTTAAAGAAACAACGAAATGTCCAGATCCCCTCTCGGCGTAGACGGATAAGTGACGCGCTGCGCGCTCGAATTTCAAACAGCGACGAAAATGAAAAGAAGAAGATCGCCTTGAAACTCGCGTTTCTCGGTACTCGCGGTCAAAGATTATCAAAACGATTCATAAATCTACTCGCGGTAACAAATATTTTTCCTCTTCCAAATTACGTTTTACCGCGAGCGTTCTTGTAAATCATCTTCGAGCTTCGACGAGGGAAGCTAACGCGTTCGATCGATCGAAACGACTCGTCTATTTAATCGAGCGATCTTATCGCAGACTAGATCCATTTCGAATAATCGAGTTCTCGTAATACCGGTAACGAGTAATCAACGCTTTCCCACGTTTCATCGACTGTCTCGTAATAACGCCGACAATTGCTCGCCTTCTGTCGCGCAATTCGATGTAATCGTCATTTTTGCGGCAAACCAACGCACAGATTTCCGCGTACGGTGACAGCTCGAAATTGAAATGTACTTTTATTACCATTAACTCTCGAGACTCGTTAATCTAAATTAGATTGTGCATCCGCGAGCTAAGTACCGGAACAGTCGTTCTTCGTCGTTTCGGACGCATCGGATCTGTCGGAGGGCGTGGACAGTAAGATACGGTAAAATAAGAACGCTTCTGTCTTAATTCTTCCAATTAACTACAATTTCATTCTTTTTTCGCTACACGTTACCGCGCTCCTCGTTCTTTTGCCACCCTATACAAACACTATATTAATTTTCCAAAATCCTCGAAGAAATTTTCAAACGGTTCTAACGCTTCTATACGTCGATGGAATTTTCTTCGATAGTCGTGATCGTACCCGAAACGAGAAAAAGAAATAAAATAATTTGTTAATCTCGAAGGCGATTAAGAAAAAATTGAGAAGAAACGCACGGCTGCGTTCCGTAAACGTTCCCGTACTTGAACTCGGAATTGCGGCCAGGACGTGGGAGCTGTACCTCGTGCAGCCATTATCTCCAGATGGGATTAGCATTGTCGTGGTTGTTCGCTGGGAGAATAAGAAGCGCGTTTTTCAAGCGCTTCGATCGCGTACGATACATCTGACGAAGGAGACATTGAAACCTGAATTCGTCGCGTCCTTCGCCTCGTTGCGCCGCTCCGTGCCGCGCCGCGTTCATTCGCTTTCCTTCGCGAACACCCTCCGTCAAAATTAACCGTCCGCGTACTTTACGAGCTAACGGAAATTTTCCGATAAAATTATTAACTCGATATAATATAAGAACGATCGGTCAAGGTCCGAACTATAGATACGGCGACTCGCGTTCCAGATCATCGTCGAACTATCCCAATGGAACGGTACAGGGTGCGGTTGTTTACGATTTTCTCGACGATCGGTTTAGTCACCGACATGCCGTGTACAAATTACGCGAAAACGAGTATACACGAGTAACGATCGCCTTGAACGAGCGGTCGCGAATATAAATCGAAGACTTTACTCTGCATCCTTTCCCACGGTTCGATATCGTCGTCTCCGAGAAATAGCGTTATAAAAGGCTCTCCGTGGTCCAACGATAGGCAACCGCGTTCGACAACTAATTTCCGAACTTCTGAACTTTCAAGTTCGCGGTCCTTCTCGTACCTCTCCCTACGCTCTTAGATATTCGATCGGATTTCATTTATTTATATCACATTATACATGCTTCGAATGTTTGTTCTCGCTGAAGAGGTACAAACTCTACGGACGGAAGATCGCGATTAATCGCGACGAACAATGAGTATTGACAGCGGCGTATAAATGTACAATTATATCTCGGCAACTTCCCACAGTCGCGGTATCGTTATTAAAACTTGCAAAATTGTGAATCACGGGTTGAATTAAAGGCTGATGCGACGGTGACACAATGGGCGCTTGAATTCTCAGGAAAGACAGGTAGGCCAGGCGAAGCAGGAAGCGACATCGATGAGATTACTTCTACAAGATAATTGCATAATTATACCCGTGGATCGTGATGAATCATCTGCCGTCCTATCGCCCATCGAATCATTCTACTTCTTTTTTATCTTCGTTTTCGTGGAATCAACGATCTATGTTTCATATGCAAAGTGGAACACGTACTCGTATTGCGCGCTCGTCGTCGAGTCTTTTTTATCTACGCGGCCGTATCCCACAATTTTCCTCGCAATTTCGACTCGGTCGATTTTCCGAGAATTCGAAGGATCGAAAACGTTTCGTTTCGATGAAATTGAACGTCCGATCCGCGTTCATTCGCTTTCCTTCGCGAACACCCTCCGTCAAAATTAACCGTCCGCGTACTTTACGAGCTAACGGAAATTTTCCGATAAAATTATTAACTCGATATAATATAAGAACGATCGGTCAAGGTCCGAACTATAGATACGGCGACTCGCGTTCCAGATCATCGTCGAACTATCCCAATGGAACGGTACAGGGTGCGGTTGTTTACGATTTTCTCGACGATCGGTTTAGTCACCGACATGCCGTGTACAAATTACGCGAAAACGAGTATACACGAGTAACGATCGCCTTGAACGAGCGGTCGCGAATATAAATCGAAGACTTTACTCTGCATCCTTTCCCACGGTTCGATATCGTCGTCTCCGAGAAATAGCGTTATAAAAGGCTCTCCGTGGTCCAACGATAGGCAACCGCGTTCGACAACTAATTTCCGAACTTCTGAACTTTCAAGTTCGCGGTCCTTCTCGTACCTCTCCCTACGCTCTTAGATATTCGATCGGATTTCATTTATTTATATCACATTATACATGCTTCGAATGTTTGTTCTCGCTGAAGAGGTACAAACTCTACGGACGGAAGATCGCGATTAATCGCGACGAACAATGAGTATTGACAGCGGCGTATAAATGTACAATTATATCTCGGCAACTTCCCACAGTCGCGGTATCGTTATTAAAACTTGCAAAATTGTGAATCACGGGTTGAATTAAAGGCTGATGCGACGGTGACACAATGGGCGCTTGAATTCTCAGGAAAGACAGGTAGGCCAGGCGAAGCAGGAAGCGACATCGATGAGATTACTTCTACAAGATAATTGCATAATTATACCCGTGGATCGTGATGAATCATCTGCCGTCCTATCGCCCATCGAATCATTCTACTTCTTTTTTATCTTCGTTTTCGTGGAATCAACGATCTATGTTTCATATGCAAAGTGGAACACGTACTCGTATTGCGCGCTCGTCGTCGAGTCTTTTTTATCTACGCGGCCGTATCCCACAATTTTCCTCGCAATTTCGACTCGGTCGATTTTCCGAGAATTCGAAGGATCGAAAACGTTTCGTTTCGATGAAATTGAACGTCCGATTGTCGAACGGCTTCGGTAGGCGCGCGCTGGCTTCGCGGACAATGGGACTCGTTCAGACCCGCCGTCGACGACGCTTGTCAACGCGAAGGCTTCGGACTTTCGTAATCGGTAACCGAGATTCTCGTTCGGCCGTTCTTCTATACGTTTGCCGATAATATCGTAAATACGCCGTAACAATTAGGATATCTCGAAAAATAGTTAGGACTCCCTTCCTATCCGACGCGATGTATCCTCCCACGCGACGAGACATCGTCGCGACGACAACGCGACGAGGTGTATTCGGATCCCCACCTTTTGCCACGGATGACCTCTCTCGTTCGAACTGCTTCACATGGATAAATGTACACTTGGCGTCGCGTCGACCACGAGGCCTTTAACGACGCCAGAACGAAACAACCTCTCGTCGTTGGCATCGCGTTTATCCGTGTGCATCATCGCGATCGGCGTGTCCGTTGATTGATCGATCGATCGATCGAAGAGGAAGCCCTGGTTGCAGCAAGGGCCGAGATAGACGTCGCCTCTTAGTAAGTCAGCCTCTTTGAATCGACGATATCGATTTCTCGTGAAACTCGTGGTGTTCGTTCGTTGTTTGCCGACCTACTCGAAGGGGGAAAGTGGCTGACTCTATTTCGACGAGGGTGAAACGGTTAACTGTTAGTCGAGAACGCTAACGGTTGGACAATCGTACGAGGGTGCAAGTGCTCGGCTTTTCCCCGATCGTTGAGATTTCTGGGCCGAGATCTTTACGATGGCGAAACAACCTAATTATTTCGGGGGTCGAAATTTTCTTATCGCGCTAAACAATTATTTGATCCTTTCCGGAACGTTGAGAATATCTGTTTCATAAAACATCGTTAAACGCATCGGTTTCGATCGTAACCGCGTTAAACGTAGTAAATCATAAATCGTATCGTTCGAAGAGAAACAGGTGACGAGGTACGCGGTACGTTCCCTGAATATCGCGGTAGTTTCTCACGAGTCAGCCTTATTAGCGCTAACACGAATACAATCGATTTGCGGCAAGTATCTAACGTTCAAGGACGGAGGATCTACGAGACGATCGCGGATGACCTACTGCTCTGCATGAACAGCCTAGAAATGCTGGAAGGAAATACGTAACTCGAACACGTAACACGTGGCCGTGAAGTGAACAAATGAATTGCACGTAAACGTTTTCAGCTTCCAGTACCGTGGCATAATTTATGAAAACAATATAATATCTACCGCGCTATAATCTTATTCGTTACCGCTGATCGAGTCTCGATGGAAGGAAACGTACCTTCGTTCGGGATTCGAGATCGAAGTGCGAAAATTAAGAACGCGAATTACGATTTTAACATCCCTTTTTCAGACGATGCCGGCTTGGATTATTTTTACTTTGCTCCCTTACGTTGCGGCTCAATTGGATTTACCTTCGTCCAGAGAGAATTCTCGAGACAACTACGACAGACGTCTTCCGCCCACCGAAGCGGATTTAGAAGATATTTTGGCGAGATTGGACTTTTTAGGCACCGAAAGATGCAGCGCGAACGTCGCCTCGCAATGGGCCTACGAAACGGACGTAAACGAATATACTCAACTGCAAGCGGTAAATATTAATTATTCGAATTCTATCGAAATTCTATGCGCACGAGTGGCGACAACTCGACGAAATCGTGGCCAAAATACCCGCATGGATTCGCTATCGCGCGACCAGAGAAATTTTGGGCTATCGGGGACTAGATAACCTTATCTCTGAAATTACTTTCACCGATTCTACTTAACGAGTGAATTTTCCTCTCTTCGGGTATTGGACATTTCTCGATGACGACGAAACTTCATCGTCGGACCTCGACCTGTTCTACGAATCGGCACACGAGACGCGATCCTGGAGTGGTGGAGAGGAATCGCACACGAGGATTTCTCCGAGGATGGGCGGTCTGCATTGTCCGCGAGAGGCCGAACACCTCCGCGGGAAATATTCCCAGCCATTGTGAAGATATATACCGAAGAATTTCGCAAGAACGAGCCATCAGCCAGAATGGTCGCGGAGGTTCCGACGAGAACGGAAAAAGAGCGCTTCAGCCTTCAACGCGAAATCCGTCGGACGAATCGCGTGATGCTAATGATAATCGTTGGCTTCTTCCAACTATAATAGTTCCTTCTTCTTCTCCTTGCGTTTCGCGAAAACGCTTCGAATCCTTTACCGCAACCTTACCGTCGCGTCGTTTAGTTTGTAGCTTTCTAGGGCGGTCCCTTACTTCGTTACTCATTTTTCTTATCCAACACAGTTTTTCCCCTGTAATCTCGGTAAGGATGCAGATAGCTTTATCGGTAACGGTAAACTCGTCGCTTCGAACCAGTTCTGCACGAACGATCACCTTCGAACAGATTATCACCTTGTTGTCTACCTTAAGCTTTCGACTCGAGTATTTCTAACGCGACTATTCGGAATCCCGATATATTTTCAAATTTCCCCTGACGAACGATTTCTATCGAAACTTTCATATTTTCAGTTGGAGTCGCAGAGAATATACGCGGATTTTCAAAACCAAGCATGGTTTCTGATATCGAGAATCGATAGGAACAACGTTAGAGATCCCGTGACCAGAAGACGTCTCAGATATTTATCGGTAGTTGGACCGTCTGCGCTTCCTCCGGATCAATTGGACAGGGTAACTAACTTAACGCGTCTATACGTATATTCGCGTTCGTAGCTATATTATAGCGTATATCTTACCAGTAAGAGAAAATCATTCGTCTTTTTTCCTATTCCTTTTCACAGTACAATCGTGTGATCAACGACATGCTGGCAGTTTACAACGAAGCGAATATTTGCGCGTACAACGATCCCTTCCGATGCGGATTACGTTTATACCCAGGTAATTAATCGTTCGAAATTAAAAACGTCTTCTATTAGGAATTTCAGGACACGATCGCATCCTTTTAAGAACGATTACGTACGAGTTTCTCTACGAGCGTGAGTTACGTGTTCGTTCGTTCTTACAAAGGCTACATCGATCGAGTAAATGAACCGTAAAGCGAGCAGAGTCGTTGAAAAGATAGTAAACTTCCGCGTTCGGGCCTCGATCGTACCATATGGTTTACGCGTGTACGCTCGCGCGTATCGGAAAAGCCATCTTCCAAAAAGTAGTTTTATTTCTTTCAGACATATCGCAGATCATGGCGAGGAGTCGTAATTGGGACGAATTGCAGTACGTGTGGACGGAATGGAGAAGACGAAGCGGAATGAGGATCAAGGATCTTTACCAACAACTGGTGGTTTTGAATAACGAAGCGGCTCGATTGAATAGTATGCCGAATAACCGTTTAACTTATCAAGCAAGATCGTAAATCTTGCTCGAATAACCATTGACGCGTAACCAACGAAACTCCTCTATTTATTCAGATTTCACCGACGCAGCGGAATACTGGATGTTCCCTTACGAGTCTCCGAATCTGCAGCAAGATATCGACGAAGTTTGGGAAATGATACGACCATTGTACGAAGAATTGCACGCGTACGTTCGGAGGAAACTTCGAGATTTGTACGGACCCGAGAAAATCGCCGCTCACGCTCCACTTCCGGCTCATATTCTCGGTACCGACATACTCCTAATTCGATCAAATTTATCGAATATATTCGTTTATAACGGGAACGTAATTAACGTTAATAGGAAACATTTGGGCACAATCCTGGACCAATATCATCGACGTTACTTTACCTTATCCAGGAAAGAATTACATAGACGTTACGCAGGAAATGCAAGCGCAGGTAACGACCACGTATCGCGTAATCGTAGTCGGAGAAACGAATTTAGACGAGATAATGAATTCGGTCGGAGCACGACTCATTGTGTTTCCTAGTAGAATCGAAAGTAAAACCGTTACGATTCGAAAGTAATAGCGAAGCAACGAAGAATTTGTAAAAGCGTTACTTCGCCCCGTCCGTCTTCCTCGATATCCTTTATCGAACTCGTCGCTAAGACCTAGAAATGTCTCGTTGCTTCTTTTAGGGGTATACGCCTATAGAGATGTTCCGTATCGCGGAAGAATTTTATCTGTCCATGAACCTGAGCGCCATGCCACCGGAATTCTGGGCCGGAAGCATAATAGCGGACCCAGGAGATCGGCCGTTGATTTGCCAAGCTTCTGCGTGGGACTTTTGCAATCGTTTAGATTACAGGTAATTGATTGCGCGCGACCGATAAACGCGATCCTTTCCGTGTTTTTTTACCTTCGATTCGATCAGGATCAAGATGTGTACCAAGGTTACCATGAAGGACTTGATCACGGTGCATCACGAGATGGCCCACATTCAATATTTCCTGCGATACAGCGGATTGCCGCGGGAATTTCGGGACGGCGCTAACCCAGGTATCCTCGTTTTACCAATAAATTATCAATAAATTAGTAAATTCCTAATTCTAGTTAATAACGACATTAAACGATATCGCGTTAAGGAAGAAATCTTCGAGAAAAATAACTAGAAGTTATTCGAGCATAGAACCGAGATTTCCGAGAATTCCGAGAAACGCGACAGAACGACACGCGATGCCACACGGTGGACGACGCGCGATTCTTACGTAAGCGGTTCGCTCGATTTCCGGTAGGCGGTAGGCGGTCCGCGGCAACTTTTACAGGTAATAGCGCGAAAGCGAGAGCGAGAGCGACACGCTCCAGCTAGATTCGCGCGCGAGCGTACTCTCCACGCTCAGCGCCGTGCGCGAGATCGTTCGAATATTTTTATTACTGCCACGTATAATCGCGCTTTCACCGTTCCATAAACAAACCGAATATCGACTATAAGCGCGAATACGAATCTTCAACGACCTTGGCTACGTTCCTCGATTCTTCCTCTCCTTTCGTGTCCATCTAATTATCTTTATCGTCTTTCGTTATTCCTCGATAACGAACGATTATTATTTTGCTCGATTCAGGATTCCACGAAGCTGTGGGCGAAGCTGTCGCGCTAAGCGTGGCAACTCCACACCACCTTCAAACTCTAGGTTTAGCCAATAAATATATCGACGAGGGAAGCGCGGACATTAATTACCTGTTCAGCTTGGCGATGGAGAAATTAGTGATGCTACCGTTCAGCATCGCCATGGATAGGTGGCGATGGGACGTGTTTCGCGGTTACGTGACCAGGGAGGATTACAACTGTCATTGGCATCGACTGAAGGAACAATATTCCGGAATCAAACCGCCCGTGTTGAGATCGGAAGACGACTTTGACCCTGGCGCCAAATATCACGTTCCAGCGAACATCCCTTACATACGGTGAGTCTTTTCTTGGATCGTATTCGGGATCGCGAGCCCGATCCAGATCGTTGAAATTTTTCGGCTAGCAGGAAGTAAACGGAAACGATTACGTATTTACGCTCCGGTTAATACGTAAACCAGATCGTATGAAACTTTCCCTTTCCTCGACTCTGCTCGAAGTTCGACTAATCGCTCGACCGTTTTTGTTGCGTGTTAATTACCGGTCCGCTTCCGCGTTAACGGATTCGCGAGCTGGAGAAGGGAAAACGATCGTGGCTGGTCGTTTACTTTCAAACTTTTCCGGGAAACTGACGCTCGTTGCGAACGTAACGTTGCGTTACCGTGAATCGCGAAAGTCGAATCAAAGATGATATCGCGAGCTTGATTATCCCTCTCTCTTTAGGATAGAAAACGGGAAATAAACGTTACGAAATCGCCGAGTGTTCGGTGTCGGTGCCATCCGAAATAGAGAATCTCGAATCTAGAGTAGCGACGCGGACCAGGAAAGCGCGTCGCGTTAAGGAAGGAACGGGCTACGAGAATTAAAACGCCGTCGATTTTGTTCTTTGGTTTTATTAGAAAGAAGCGAAAGACAAGGCTGCTCGCCGGACCGAATAAAGGTCGTTTACTCGGTCCTCGATAACCAACAGAATTCTTTGTACAATACAACGTGTACGCGTACAATGTATTGTTAGGTACTCGGGTATAAAAGGGTTACACGCTACGATCTAAGCGAATTACGAGAACTCGTAAATAGCTCAACGTCGATCCCGAGCGACGACATGCTCGAGGGATCGATTACTATAAATAGATTCGCGTCGGAAAGAAAAATCGAAACTCGGACGAGTCGAAGCAACTCGACGCGGTACTCGATGGCGAACGAATTCTTCAATGCTCCCCGTAACTAGACTCGTAGCCACCGTCGTAACCTCCTCCGCCGTAACCTCCTCCGCCATAGTGGCCGTGCACCGATACGGCTACGGGTACCTTGACCGGGTAGGGTACGGGTTTAGCCACAGGCACAGGCACGTGTTTCTCGACCGGTACCGCAACCGGTCGTTCGACGGGTACCTTTACCGGATAAGGCACCGGCTTCTCCACGGGGACAGGTACGTGCTTCTCCACGGGATACGGAGCCGGCACCGGTACCTTAACTTCCACGGGTACCGGCTTCTCCACCGGCACTCCTACCGGTCTCTCCACGTGTACCTTCACGGGATAGGGTACCGGCTTCTCCACGGGAACCGGAACGTGCTTCTCGACGGGCACCGGGTACGGTTTGGGAATATGGACAGGGTACGGTCTTTCTACGGGCACGTTCACCGGGTAGGGAATGGGCTTCTCGACCGGGAACGGTTGAGGCACGTGTTCGATCACCTTGACGGTGTAAGGCACAGGCTTCTCGACCGGGTACGGTTGCGGCACTGGTACCTTTACGGGGTACGGGATCTTCTTCTCGACCGGGTACGGTTGCGGTACGTACACCTTGTGCGGTACCGGTCTTTCTACGGGCACATGGACCGGGTACGGTATCTTCTTCTCTACCGGATAAGGTTGGGGAATGTGTACGGGTACCTTCACCAGAACCTTCACCGGTACAGGTATCTTCTTCTCGACAGGGTACGGCTCGGGCACGGGAACTTTCACCGGGTACGGTATCTCTTTTTCCACCGGATAGTGAACTTTCTTCTCGACCGGATACGGTATCTTCACGCTCTTCTCGATCGTGATTACTTTTACTTTGCCACCCTCTTGGTAACCGTAACCACCTCCGTAACTTTCGTAACCGCCCTCGGATCCACCGCCGTAATCGCCACCCTCTCCACCCGATAGAGCGATTTCGTGTCCACCCCCGTAGTCACCGCCTTCCGCGCCTCCCTCGTAATGACTCAACCCTCGCTTCTCCTGCTTCTTTTCCACTGTCGACTCCGAAGACTCGACGTCCTTCACGGCCTCCTCGCAGACCGACGCGGCCACCAAACCCACCAATATCGTGGTTACCTGAAATCATGGTACGCCCTGTTTTTTGTTTTCTCCTACTAATTTTCTCTTAGTACGAGTCTATTAGTACGTGTAAATTCTCGGATTTACAGCTCGTTACCGAAAATCTCGAAAACTTCGATTCCGCGCTCCGCGTAGAGAGAGAGAGAGAAAAAAAATATACATATATATATTCCGATACTAATGTTCGAAAAATTCCGATTTAAATGCAATTAATCTATACCCTGTACGAAAGAAATAGGGCAGATGCACACGGTACTCACCAAAATGTTCATGTCTTACGGACACTTGAATATCTGGTCGATGTCCAGACTTTACTGGATACTTCCCCCCAAGATACCACCGACTTTATAGCCCGCTTTCCCCCGTCCGTGGATCGCAGCGAGCCCCTCTGTTCACGGAAAAGTGAAACACGGCGGTTCGCGTATGGTTCGCGACGTTATAGCATTTTTCTAAATCCTACCCAGACCGACACGCTGTTTCCATAACAGCGCTCACTGGCGTAGCACGCGTTGGATCCTCTTCCAGGGTGAAAGGAAACGTTCGAGCCTTTGCCGACCACCGCCTCTTGCCGTCTTCGAACAACTACCGTATCATTTTTACGCCGATCATACTGCACCCTGTACAAATATCGATCGATTAACAATTTATGCAACTCGTAGAGGGACAACGTAGAGGGAAACGCTCGAAAGAATTTGAAATTTCGGTTTACTCGATCGATTTCGATGATTCAATAGCGACGAAATCGGTCAGTTTCTGGTAGCGGCAGATTGGAAATGTCGTAACGATAGAAAGGATAAATCTGATTTACATTCACCGCGTTAACGATTAAATTAAATCTCTTAGGCTTCTGCTCTTTCCTTGTTTTATTAACGCGACCCGTCACACGTACGACTTATACATCGTTTTTAATTTAAGGGATCGCAATCAACTTTCAAATATTATAGAATCGAAGAAGCAGCGAACAGGTATAGAAAACGGGCTTTGGATAGCGTTCGTATTATATTGCTATTAATATAGTTATTCAATTTGCCTTGTCCGATCTTTAATCGGTTAGGTCGATAGGAGAAATTTGTGGCGCCGCCACCGACAGATCGACGGCATAATCGATGAACGTTTAAAATCGAAATCGAAGTAAAACGAAGGAAAATGTTGTTGTACGCCATTGATCGCGCAGATTCGCATTCAAAGTACTCGAATCTGTTCCGTCTTTCTTTCTCGAAGGTGTAACTCCTACCATATCGAAAAGTTTCACGGCAGGCAGGAGCAGTGCCCCCTCCGTATCCGGTACCCACGGAAGTACGATAGCGGCGCGTGGCTAAGGCGCTTCCAATCTCGGTCGAGTCCTCTGATCCGCGACGAGATCCTTTGGTCGAACGAAGAAAGCTACAGGAAGGAAGAGGACTCGGATCGGCGGCGGAGTAAGGGAAATGAAAAGCGACGAGAGAGGGAGAGGGTCGTTGGAGGGGAAGAGGGATATACGATCCGGATGGAACTACGATAGAGTCAGAGATCGATCGTGTAGATCCTAGTCGTTTCAACGCGTCGATGCGCTTTAATTGCATCAAGGATCGGAGAAATTATTCGCGAGTCGAATAGAAACGCATGGAATCGAGACAAAATGAACATTCTGCTCGATCGCTGATAGAATATTTATTATTAGTTCAGATAGGAATACTTCGCAAACGCGATAAATGAACGTATCTTGTGCATGAAAGATGGGAATCTTTTCCTGCGCCACAGGCAATATCCACTGTGTTTAATCGCGAGTTTAAGTATCAATTACGTTCTTATGAAAGTGAAACGGCGAGGAAGCATCGAGGAACGAGGTGGAGTCGAGTGAAACGTTGGCTGATTGTTTTGTAACGATGGAAGCGTTAAAAAGAAAAAGAGAACAGTCTCGTGGGATAACTCGCCGGATTATTCGAGCGTAGAATGATCGGTCTGATATAATCACGTATCGATGCACGTTTGTTGTTGATCGATGGAAACCGCTTTACAAGACCGGAAGAAAGATATCTGGTATTACGGGGGGAATTTATAATTCCCGTCTATCGAACAATCTTTCCGCGAGGTTCGCGGCTATTCTCGCGATCAGCGAAAGGTGTACGAGCGGAATTTCCGCGAGCGCGATCGCTCCTCCTCGTATCGCGTATTCTATAGCGTACACGATAGAACGACGCGTGAAGAATTCGCGATGAAGACGTTAACGAGCGAGCACTTCCACGCAAGGAATTTCGTTAAACGTAACAGGAGCCGTAACGCGATTCCGCTTGTCGCGTGTCGATTCCACGCGATAACTTGCACGGTACTATCTACTATACGCTCGGAACGTTCACACGGACATTTCTTTCTGGCGCTATACTTCCCTATAAACGTCAACCTTTCGTCCGTGCAATACTTACGCTTATTACCACGCGCAGAGTACACGACTTTCTATCGAAGCAGCAAACAGGTTAATCGAATGATCTAACAAAGAGACGAAATTACATCGTGGAAAGAACAAGGACCAAAACGACGTCGACTTTTTATTTCTCCTTACAAACTTATTTACTAGAATCTTACATACTCCTGAGTGAAAAGTATTCGAAACGATTTTTTTCTTTTTTTCTTTTTTTCTTTTTTTCTTTTTGTACACGAAGAATTCTGAACCCTTTCGTATCCAAGGATCCAGTCAAAATAAATAACAAAGTACTCGAGGCGCTTCCCGGCGAACACGTTTCTAGGATAAGTATCTCGAGATGCTGCGCGATCTTTCGGCCTGCCGTTTCTCGTTCGAATCTTTCCTGTCCTTGAAACCAGTTTTCCAGCGAAGATCAACAGGTACCGGTACCTGTACCCAATAAGGAAACGGTTTCTCGAGCGGAACAGGCACCGGTTTCGTCACGTACACCTCGTAAGGTCTGTCCACTGGTACCTTGACGGGCACGGGATAATGCTTCTTCACTTCCACCTGGACAGGTTTCTCGACAGCGTAGGGCTCGGGTGCAGGTACCTTTACCGGGACGGGTACCGGCCTCTCGACCGGTACCGAATACGGTGCGTCCACAGGAACCTTGATCGGTACACCGTACGGTTTATCGACCGGCACCGGATAGGGTTTCGCGATCTCCACCGGATACGGTTTAGGCACCGGTACGGAATATGGTCGGTCCACCAGCACCTTCACCGGTACAGGTACTCTGCTCTCCACTTGGTAAGGCTGAGGAACTTTAACCGGCACTTTCACCTCGTACGGCACTGTTTTATCGACGGTGTACGGTTGCGGCACCGGCACCGGCACCTCCACGGGTACCTTTTTCTCCACGGTATACGGTTGAGGCACAGCTACCTCCACGGTATACGGTACAGGTCGGTCCACCTTCACCTCGTAAGGTACTTTCTTCTCGACGGTGTACGGTTCAGGCACCTCGACGGGTACGTTGACGAACACTTTGACAGGATACGGGACTCTCTTCTCGACGATGTACGGTTGCGGTACAGGCACCTTCACTTCGTACGGTACGTGTTGATACACCGGATACGGTACCTTCTTTTCGACGGTAACAGGTACCGGCACCTTCTTCTCCACGGTTACCGCTCTCGGCCGCTGCCACGACGAAATCTCGTGGAACGATTCGCTTCTCGGAAATCTTCTCCATTCGTCCTCGACATTGCCCAACCATCCTCCCGTTAGTCTCGATCCCGATAGCCTCGAAACGTATCTCCACGAATCTACCGTGTCGTCCTCTTTTTCACCTTCGTCCTCTAACGACGATGAGCGGCCCTCGAATTTCCTGTTGTACGGAGCCTTCCGGACCGTGGAGTACGATTCTCGTACGGTTTTCGTTTCCGTGGTGGAATTGCCGCTTTCCAGCACCTTCTCCACGGCTCTCTCTGCTGCCCTCTCGGCTGCCTTCTCCACTGCCAACTCCGCAGCCCTCTCGAGATCCTCGCGACGAGTGGCTGAACAGGTCAGAACGATCGACAGCCACGCTAACGCCACGATACTTCGTCGCTGAACAGAATGCGATACATCGATTACCGACTAACTCGCAATTTCCTTTTCTCTATCGATCGATCGATCGTCGCTTTTACGGATTAAAATTGTAAACTCTTAACGAAACGTTAACCCTCCTCTATTTTACCGGGTTCCGACTTACGTTACGCGTTGCAGTAATTTCGAATCGTATAGCGACGATAATATTAAAACGTCGAAATAAAATTTAACGCGACCAGACGACGCGGTGTCGCGAGGAACATACATGACGCATGAAAAGTAGTAGAAGAATACAAACCATGATAACGCGTTTCCATTCGCTACGATAGATAAAGGTATACTGAATTCGAAGCAACGCTGCTCCAGTATTATTTATACAAGGTGGACGACTTTCGCCGGTTCAACCAGCTGGACCTTTATGGACTTGCACTACCTTGTTCGTGACAATTATCCACGGTTAAACGGTCATTGTCTCTCCTAGAAATTAGTTGGTCAAGAATCACGGAAACGCTGGGAAAGAAAGGGTTTATTGTTCCGATCGTAAAATTGTTTCGTTCGCTGCGAAGAAATTCCAAGTACGCGAATTATTGTTAGGAAAACGTTTCTACTATTTTGATAACCAGAAGTAAAAACCATTTAACCAAAGTAAATCGAAGCTGGAAAATTTGACTCGGAAATAAGAAAAAAATAGTACTTGTCGTTTTCCATCGGGTCCATCGATGAAAAATTCTTATCGATTCCGGGCTACGTAGGTTCTACGATCTCGCGAACGACGCGAGGCGACGCGAGGATACGATTTACGTATCGGCAGATGAAAGCGAACAGCCACTTTCTAGGGGACAATCGTAAAACCCTGATACTTCGTTTCGGTACGAAGAAACGCGCGTTTCGGTTTCGCGGAACTCGCGACCAACAGAATGCCAAACGACCATCTCTCGCTACGTTACTTGTTTTTCTTTTACCGATGTCTTTTCGGCAGCCTGCGAAATTCCCTGGTCAATGATTTATATGTATATATAGAACGGTATATAGTTCGTGCAGTCCGATCACGTTCTTTAATTCTTTCCGGTTCTGTTCATCGATCACGCGGACCATCGAGTTTCTCGTTCAAGTTCAGTGAAACCGAAACCGGTATAAAAGTTCTCTTCAGGCTGCTTCGCCATTTTAAACGCGCCGCTTTCTTCTCCTGCTTCGATCGTTGCCTAGAAACTTTTACGCGGTGCTAAAATCCAATATCAAAGTTCATCGATACTCGCATCATATCGAAATATTGAAAATCGAGAAATATTCGGTAGCTTCGTTTCGATCGTGTAACTATCGATTCGAAATAACTTTGAAACTCGATGTTATCATTTTTATTCGTACGCTTGCACGGACACGATAGAATATCGAGTTAAAGATCAGAAATTCGATAAACTCGAAGAGGGAAGGACGATCGATTATAGAAGTTTTCTTTCGTTTTTAACGACGAAAATACCGATACAAGATTCGCTTATGTCGCAACCACAAAAATTATGTGTTGCGATAGAATTGCACGAAGGGTGAAAGTAATCGTACCCGGAATCAAATTTTCTAATTTCTCAATGTTTACGGAAAAAAGTAAAAATCCTTTATTTCTCTGGATTCTTTAATAAGGCATTTTAATAAGGCTTTAATAAATTACATGCATTTATTTGGTTGTTGGTTACGCGATGGAAATTAATCGGGAAAAAAATTTGATCGTTGTTTCGTAAAATCCATTTATTTTCTTTACATCGTACAACCTCTCGCGGAACATGTACGCACTAGAAAGAAACGGTATCGTCGATACAAGCTCGCCAACTTTTCTAAAGGAATACGCGATTCGTCGTAAAGCCGAGTCTGAATAATCGGCGAGATGGCGTTACCTGTTCCTCTGTAAACTTAACAAATTTCTCGGCTCTCTTATTTATCGTTTTAAAGAGGATTAAACTACTTAAATGGGCGTCGTATCTATCGGCGAAAAGTGAGGTAGCCGCAAAATCGATTCGAGTTAAATAACTATCTACTAGAAAGATCGTCGAGAAAAAAAATCACTCGTTTTCGGATATGCAATATCCATTTTTTGGTGAAATTCTTCTTCTAAAAAAAAAGTTTACGCGTGAATTTCTCGGTGCCGCACACTCGTTATTCGCGTAAGCGTTCTAAAGTACCGATTCATCGTTTCCAATCGTGATATCCAAAGCCGTGTTCGAGGGCAACCGTTTGACGATGAGCCGGTACAGCGACCGGCACCTTAATAGGATAAGGAACCGGTTTCTGGATAGGATAGGGCACCGATTTTGTCACGTGAATAGGGACCGGTCGATCGACGGCCACCTTTACGGGTACAGGTACCGGTCTCTCGACAGTGTACGGTACCTCTTTCTCCACGGGATAAGGTACCGGTACAGGGATCTTTACCTTGACAGGTACCGGTTTGTCAACCGGCACAGGTACCGGCCTAGGAATCTCGACCTTGACAGGTACCGGTACTGGGTTCTCAACGGGATAAGGTACCGGCTTGGACACGGGTACCGGATAAGGCTTCGATACGGGTACCGGTATCGGTTGCTCGACCTCGATTCTTATCGGATAATGGACCACCCTCTCGACCGGATAAGGTTGCGCCACGTGTACAGGTACCTTCACAGGTACCGGTATCTTGCGTTCGATAGGGAACGGTTCGGGCACGGGTACCTTAACTTCGTAAGGAACCTTCTTTTCTACCGGGAACGGATCCGGTATGTAAACTTTCACCGGTACCGGACGATCGACCGGTACCTGAACCGGATACGGTACCTCTTTCACCACGGGCACCGGTTTGGGTACCTTAAACGGCATATTGACGAAAACCTTGACAGGATACGGTATCGTCTTCTCGACCGCGTACGGTTGAAGTACAGGTACCTTCACTGGATACGGTATATTTTTCACGATCGGGTATCGGATCGTTTTTTCTACGGGGTAAGGTACGGCTACCTTCTTTACAACCGTCACCAATTTTTGCACGTCTTCGTGGACATCGTGAGCCAGAACTTGACCGTCGCGAGGCACACCGACAGGAGGTAGTCCACCTCCGTCGAAGTCGTGAAAGAACGTTCCTGCTTCTTCCGCACCACCGTCCAAACCTAGATCATCCGAGAGGCTCGCTTCCAGCCGTTCGTTCCTCGGCTGATCGTTGTACGCGTCATCTGCAATTAGATTCCTTAACAGTTTCACCGGTAAAAAATTATTTCTTATAAATCGCGTTATCATTTCCCGTTCATTTCGAGTATTTGCTGGTGCCTAATCGTACCGGCGTACACCGAAATTTACCCGTTGATCATACTCACAGCGTTTCTCGACAGATTCCGACGAATTCGCTTCGCGATCCTTCTCTTCGGAACTGTCGTTCGATGGCGTTTCCGAACGACGAAAACTTCTTTGTAATCTCATATACCCCGGTGTCCTCGTTGTCGTTATTTTGTAAGTCTGTCCGGTGGATGTGTCCGCCTCCTCCACTTCGACAGGGGAACCGAACGCTGTGGCCAACAACAGTATCGAAAATACCACCACCACGGTACTCTAGCAAACAGATTAAAATGAAAGCTTTCGACACTATGTTTTACATCGTAAACAATTTACTCGACCAAGATCGATTCGTTCTAAATCCGAGCTAGTAAAACTTGTAAATTCACGCGTGCAACCTTCAAGTATTCGTAAGACATATCGGAAGTTGTCGATTTCGTTTGGAACTACACTATACGTAACACGATGTCAAATCGCTCGAACAACGTTCCGACCAAGATTCACTTTCATCGACGATGAACTCGAGGCTTCACTGTCGCGTCGAACCGATCGTATCGATCACTTGAACAGACTCTCTTTCTAAAACGTACCGTGTCTCCCATCTCGAAGTCGAATCGATCTTCTTCGGTGTACGGATACAGAATCTGGATCAGACGTAAGTAAATCAGTCGCGTGGATTCGCTAGCTTTTATATACGAGTTTCTCATTGTCGATCCATACGCTGCACACGCCGCATCGATGGGTTCACCAAAGAGGGAACTCGTTCACTTTCGCATCTCGTGTGTTCTCGAATAGAGTGAAACTCTTCGAGATATCGTACCGAGAACGCGATGAATCCGCTGAAAGAACTCGATTTCCCATCGGTCCGGCCCATGTACGGACAAAAAGAGCGACGCGACAACCGTCATTCCGACACGTTCTCGCCGATCCGTCGTTTTTCCTGCAATAAACTAAGTTCCTTCGTCAACCTCGATCGTCTTTGGATTCGAATGCGAATCACGCGCGAATCGAAAGCGAAAAATCCGTCGATGATTGTCTCGTAGAATGACGAGAGGAACGTCTGCTTCGTCGTTTCTACTCGAAAGCGGAATGAAATTCGCAAACGGCAACGTTAAATACGAAAAATAAAAATAAATTTCCAACGAAACAGTTCCAGTTAACTGGCAACGTTTACGGTCTTCCGGCAAACGAGCAAAGAGTTCAGGAGCAAATTCTACAGCGAACTTTCACAGCCGGATCGGTGGAAACTGTGCCGTTACTGCCGTTACGGTTATTATATGTACAAAGTATAAACAAGGTGGACAGTTCGCGAAGGTACACGTAACACGTCGACGAGTCGAGCATCGGTTTTGCAGTGAAAATGACGATGATGTTCGATAGAAATCGTTTTGCCGAGATTTCACGACGCGCACGCGATCATTACGCGACCATGAACGCGTTTCACCCCGTTTGCTTTCGGTATACTTTTTTCGATCGTACCAAAGATACTCGAATGCTAAAACAACCGTTATACACGCTACATGCGTAGTCGGAACGGTACAAGATCAAGAAGGCAGAGTAGCATCTCGAAGATCAGCAATTCTTCTTTGCGTTTGGTCTGTTGCGAGTTTTATCTTTTGCGCGTATAATCTTTTAATATCGTACAAAAATAATATTATTTTCGTTTGGAGTACATCATACTCCACACCGTCCTGTTGCCTGATTCAATTAGAATTTCAACATTTTAATGCCGAGCAATAATTTCGGTGCAACAGTCGAGAAGAGTACAAGGTTAAACGCGCGAAGACGTAATAAAAAGTCTTCTCGATAACGCTTGTAAGCAATAGAAAACTCGCGATGCAATACTAATTATTGCTCCTTAACAGTTTATCGACACGCGATGCGTTTCAGACGGCTAATTCGATAGCGAAACGGCGATCTCGATTTAAGGAATGCTGCATAATTACATGCTTCGCGCTTTTAGCATAGTTTTCCAATTTCGCTTTCGAAGCGTGCACTGCAATAGAGTTTTTAAGAAAATTGCCTATCATTAGCGAGAATCAATTGTTTATACAGCGCTTCGAAAGCGATACCTCTAGCGCCATTTAGCGGTAGACGGAGAGCCATCGATTCCTCGGTACACCGCTATATGGCGCTACTACTGTTCTTTTAAAAGAGCTTAATATCGAAGAACACTAATGTTTGCAAAATATTTCGAATTTACTCGTACTTAAAGTTACGTCGTTTTATTGCGGTAAGATATCGAAAATAAATACCTGAGCATTAATTTATACCATTTACTGTAATTACCATTTGCCTCTTTATTGACCTCGTCGAAAGCGAAAGTCGACGAGTCTCCACCGGCGCGCGTAAGCGCTGCGATCGTTGAAACGCGTAAAAATGATCCTTTCAAATATTTACAAAGAGTAGAGAATTCGTAGAGAACTCGTAATAGTATAAATTGTATGTTTGGGTGAATTTCGCGGTATCTATATATTTGAGAAGACTTGTAAGTGTAAAACGGGAAGGAAAGAAAGGCTCGACGTTTACTTAAAACCGAATAAAAGAAGAAAAAGGAGAAAAAGAAAGACGAAAACTCTCGACCTCGGTCGCGCGCGACTCGATTTCGTAACGATCGGACGAGCACGTAAATCCACGGTTCACGAGTCAAGTGGTCGGTTGGGCACGCTCCAAGTGGCTCCAAGCTCGGAACTTAAACTTGCTACCACGATCTTCGACACGCTCCACCGCCTTTCCCCGAACGACCTACACCGCTTCGAACGACTGCTGGCTCACGCGCACCATTTTCTTACTCGGTAATTAATCGCATCGACGAGAGTCCCCTTTGTTCGCGGATGTTCGCGGAGTAATCGGTAACCTGTAACCGGCTCGAAGAATCCACGGGGTTGCCTAACGAACTCGTCCACGTAACGATGCTAATTGAACATTTCCGAAGCGTCGTTGCTAAAGTTTCCGGTTTGCTCGTTTCAAAAGGGGGACTACGCTCCTACTTGCTTTTAATACTTGCTTTTCCTTCTATACTTACGCACATTTTTATCTCTTTATCTCTTTACTCGTTATTTTGAAAATATTATACTCTCGATAAAAGTAACGACATTTCGCGTAAATGCGGGCGTCGATGGTTGTTGGCTCTGTCGAAAACTAGAAACGGGTCGAAGAGGCAGGCTGATGTCGCGTCGGTGGAAATTACGAGGACACGTGAACGATAAGGGAACGACGAAGAGCATCGATTCGGAAGGGGTGTTTTGGCAACGAGCGAACTAGGTCGCGGCTAACACCGTCCGATTTCGTATCGAACGATCAAACGAATGGTGGCCTACGAACTGACATGCATAGTCGGTCGATCGAGAAAAGTTCCGTGCGGAAAGCTTGTATTTATTTCTGTCTATCGAATTAAAGTGAAAAAAAATATATATGATAATTAAAGGAAAGCGATCGTTCGATCGTGACGGGTTCGCTATGATATTTCCATTAACTCGCTTCCTCGAAAGAATCGCAAGGGTGCTAGAACGACGGAAAGGAAAGGTCGATCCGAAGGGAACGATGAAATTCGTGAACAGAGAAACAGAAAGAACACGACGAAACGTATACTTTAGAATATTAATATTTATAGTTGGTAGAAAAATACATGTATTCTGCTATATCGGTAAAAAAAAAAAGATGAAATAAGCGAGCTGTTTCCGAGCGAAGGACATTAAAGACAGCCTCCGAGTGTGGATCCATTCGGTCCTTTCGACGCGAGGACCGAATACGATCCACCGTTAGCAAAAGCCCGCCCTTCGAAGCGACTCGGTTCGCCGTCGGAAGTCCTTCCTCGTCGCCCGATCCAGGTACAAGAAGAAGGCTGTTATGGACATCGTCCTTCGACTCGTTCACGTTTTTCTATCTCTTCATCTCTTTCTTCTTCCTCTTCTCGTTCTCTCTTTCTCACTCTTCATTTTTCTCTCTTTCTCTTTGTTCCCTGTGTTAGCTAAAGACGTCGACTGGCGGTTGGTCATCCGCTTGGTCCTGACCGAGCCAGTACGATTCCAATTTCGCGATTAATGATAACCATGGCTACCCGCCCAATCGTGACCGCTATCGTGATGGTGAACAGGAACAGCTACCGGTACTTTGATGGGAACCGGTACAGGCTTCTCGACCGGATAAGGTACCGGTCGCTCGATGTGTACGGGATACGGTCTGTCTACCGGAACCTTGACTTCGACGGGTACCGGTCTCTCCACGGGATAGGGTACAGGCCTCTCGACCGGGTACGGTTGCGGCACGGGTACCTTAACCGCGACAGGGTACGGCTTCTCGACGGGTACAGGATACGGTCTGTCGACGGGTACCTTGACGGCTACGGGCACTGGTTTCTCCACGGGGTACGGCACGGGTCTTTCGATGTGCACGGGGTAGGGTTTAGGTACCGGCACGTGAACAGGACGATCGACGGGAACCTTGATTGGAACCAATCTTTCCACTGGATAGGGCGCCGGTATATGGACCGGAACTTTTACGGGCACCGGGACGGGCTTCTCGACGGGGTACGGTTGAGGTACGGGGACCTTCACCGGGTAAGGAATGTGCTTCTCGACCGGGTAAGGCTGAGGTACCAAAACTTTTACGGGATACGGACGGTCAACGGGCACATGGACTGGGTACGGAACCTTCTTCTCCACGGGGTAAGGCTGCGGTACGTGCACCGGAACTTTCACCAGGACCTTCACCGGGTAGGGTTTCTCGGGTGCTAGAACGACGGAAAGGAAAGGTCGATCCGAAGGGAACGATGAAATTCGTGAACAGAGAAACAGAAAGAACACGACGAAACGTATACTTTAGAATATTAATATTTATAGTTGGTAGAAAAATACATGTATTCTGCTATATCGGTAAAAAAAAAAAGATGAAATAAGCGAGCTGTTTCCGAGCGAAGGACATTAAAGACAGCCTCCGAGTGTGGATCCATTCGGTCCTTTCGACGCGAGGACCGAATACGATCCACCGTTAGCAAAAGCCCGCCCTTCGAAGCGACTCGGTTCGCCGTCGGAAGTCCTTCCTCGTCGCCCGATCCAGGTACAAGAAGAAGGCTGTTATGGACATCGTCCTTCGACTCGTTCACGTTTTTCTATCTCTTCATCTCTTTCTTCTTCCTCTTCTCGTTCTCTCTTTCTCACTCTTCATTTTTCTCTCTTTCTCTTTGTTCCCTGTGTTAGCTAAAGACGTCGACTGGCGGTTGGTCATCCGCTTGGTCCTGACCGAGCCAGTACGATTCCAATTTCGCGATTAATGATAACCATGGCTACCCGCCCAATCGTGACCGCTATCGTGATGGTGAACAGGAACAGCTACCGGTACTTTGATGGGAACCGGTACAGGCTTCTCGACCGGATAAGGTACCGGTCGCTCGATGTGTACGGGATACGGTCTGTCTACCGGAACCTTGACTTCGACGGGTACCGGTCTCTCCACGGGATAGGGTACAGGCCTCTCGACCGGGTACGGTTGCGGCACGGGTACCTTAACCGCGACAGGGTACGGCTTCTCGACGGGTACAGGATACGGTCTGTCGACGGGTACCTTGACGGCTACGGGCACTGGTTTCTCCACGGGGTACGGCACGGGTCTTTCGATGTGCACGGGGTAGGGTTTAGGTACCGGCACGTGAACAGGACGATCGACGGGAACCTTGATTGGAACCAATCTTTCCACTGGATAGGGCGCCGGTATATGGACCGGAACTTTTACGGGCACCGGGACGGGCTTCTCGACGGGGTACGGTTGAGGTACGGGGACCTTCACCGGGTAAGGAATGTGCTTCTCGACCGGGTAAGGCTGAGGTACCAAAACTTTTACGGGATACGGACGGTCAACGGGCACATGGACTGGGTACGGAACCTTCTTCTCCACGGGGTAAGGCTGCGGTACGTGCACCGGAACTTTCACCAGGACCTTCACCGGGTAGGGTTTCTCGACGGGATACGGCTGCGGTACCGGAACCTTCACCGGGTACGGTACCGGCTTTTCCACGGGATAAGGCACGTGCTTCTCCACGGGGTACGGAACGGCCACGTTCTTCACCACGGTCACGGTCTTCACGTGCTCGTGTCCCGCGTCCAGAATGTGTCCTCCGTAACCTCCGGAGTATCCCAGGTGACCGTATCCGCCGCTCAGTTCCAGACCACCGTGTCCACCTGCGCCGATATCGTAACCTCCGTCGTAGCTGTAGCCGTAACCGAGACCCAACAGACCACGTTTTTCTTGTTTCTTGGTTGCTTTCTCGTCCACCGATGCCTCCGCTTTCTCGCTCTTCTCCTCCGCCCATACGGACGAGACCAGCAGGCCGATCGCTGTCGCGTACACCTGCAAACCACCATTCGAGACGTTAATATTTTCGACGTCGAACGAAAACGGTTCGACTCTAATCGCGTCCATCGCTCGAAAAGGTTTATGTTCGAGTAGCCCACGATCGGTCACGACCCAATATCTTTCTCCCCTAACCGCTTCTATGTTCGTCCGCCGAATCTAACCCTTAATCTCGTTACTAGTTTCATGTTTTCCAAATTGCGAACAAGCTCTTTCCTTATCTGACGATTTTCAAACGAGCCGATAAGGAAAATTTGGATAAATTTTGAAATCTGATCGAAATCACTGCGCGACTCGAGAATTTGAAAATGGTATTTCGATTATCGGAAAATCGGCCACGTAATCGACCGGTTCGAAAGGAATGCTATGTCCCGTATCGGAAAGCGGCATAACGGAGAACGAAACCGGGAGGCACACCCTTCGTAGAAATCGTTCACTGATCGACGGAACGCGTCCTATCCGCGTCACTTGATCCTCCTTCGATTTCGCGTTCGTTACGAGCACGTACCAGAAATCTCATTTTTGCTTCCGAGATATTCCAGGTGCGTCCAGAAGTGAACTGGATGCTGATTGCCGTCGGTTCGTCGCCTTATATACGCGGCATACTTTCGCCTTCGCCACCCGGGCCCAACTCACCTACCCCCCACGTTACACCTCTTTGTTCGCGTAGAACGACCACGATCGGCTACCACTCCCCTTTGGGACACACGACTCTCCTCCCCACGCCTCTCGAAAACGTCCCTCTCCTTGGGCAACAGTTTCGTTTTCTTCTTCGTTCGCGGGATCCCCACCCGCGTTATATGCCGTCGTTACGCGGATACTCCGTTCGATACCCTCCGATACGTCTTTCGACCGTTAAACCGTCGATATATTTCAACTTTTAATATCTTTTGTCGTCATCTTTTTCCTTCTTTTCGACCGATTCATCGCATTCGCGGCTGAGCATTTCGCGCAAACACCTTTGCACGCGTTCAGTCGCGTTTCGTAGTCGATCTCGTCGACGAGAGATTGGATTTATTTTTCCGATTCTCTAGTAAATTAGTTCGTCGGAACGTTAGTTGCTATATTTTGGTTCGAGCAAGGTCTAACTGGATATTAGGATGCTAATTTTCTTCGATATTTAACAACATTTATCGGCGAAAGTCTTAGGTGTTGGAACGAGCCGTGAAGAGCCGTGACTTGCTAGATAATTAAGCAGTGGAAAATACTTTTTCGATGCTTTAAAGGTATCGTGTATTCGCTGTACGCGAATGCGCCGTCTTAAGACGTCGCAGCGCGTCAAACGTAGGAGTGGATGATTATTTTATTCGACGAGAATGCTTCGGTAATTGGAATCATCGTGTTCTTAACCTACTTTCATCTATTCTGTCGCGTACCGAGTACGAACCAGAAATCGCTCGCTGAAGCTTCGAGTCGCTGAAACCCTCGAACGATACTAAAATCATTTGATCGACGCTTTCGAGAATCGTGACAGCCGCATTCGTGAGCAGAGAGTTTCGTGTACGTGACGCGGCAAAACGGCAAAACGGCAAAATCTCTCTGGGTCTCGTTGCATCGATCTTCCTTCGTCCTTCGTTCGCAGCTTCGACTTCCTGCTGCGCGTTATTCGCGTTCCTACGCGTCGCTGTTTCAATTATCCTCTCGTAATTTGCCTGTCGGAGGTTGTTTCTCTTCGTTCCGTCGTGGACCCTCTCGAGTCCTTTCGAAAGCGGTTCAAACTTGATCCATCGATATCGAACTTTCGCAATTCGGTCAATTCAAATGATTTTTTTCGACGTATCCAAAAGTTGTTTCGCCCAGGGCGATATCTCGGTACAATTGGATCGTTGCAGCCAGTCGTCGATTCGATGCTCTTCCCTTTCTCCGTTAGCCGTTCCGTTCTCGTCCTTCCTCTCGAGGCGACCTGGCTCGATTACGTGTACCGTGTACACGTTAACGTAAGGCTCTCTCTTTTCCCCTCTCTTTCTCTCTCCCTGTCTCTCTCGTTCCGATAGGATTTATCCGCTGCCAATCTCGTGGGTGCAACCATTACTCCCTTTCATGAGACACGCGGTCCTGCGTCACGATTTCCCTCTCCTTTTTTCCTCAACGACCCCGGTTCCGTTTTCTTCCATGTACGCCTACGAGAACACCGGCCTGGCAAGACGTTTTATTAGAATATTATCCGTCTTTCTGGCTATCCTGCCAGAGGATGACGTAACTAATCAACTAACGCGTACAGATAGAACGCACAGAAACACGGTACTCGCAAGCATAGCTAGCGATTGATCAAATTAGAATTTATCGGTATTTTTAGTGTACGGAGAATACGAAACGGAACACGATGTCCTGAAACAGTCTGAAAGAAACAAGCGACATTCGAACGTAGTAGAATCTCGTCGAAGCTGATCAAACGGTTACCTAATATTCGAGTCCGGAGATCCTCGGCTCTTTCGACCGTTAAGGACGATCGATTTGCCCGTAAAAGTTTGCGCGGTCGTTATTCGATGAATCACGAGACCTGCCATTCACGGAAAGGACTTTGCCTTGATTTCGATTATCGTCGATGCCGTTTCGTTTTCCTCGCCTTGCATCGATACGCGATTCGCAGAAAATTATCTTCTCTCTATCGTGGCTATCCAGGTGGGTAGATTTTAAAGGTCGATCGATAAAATTTCCCTGCCACGCGCATTCTGCCCTACATAATCGTTCATAATAATTCTTCCCTACATAAAAGATAGTTTAGCTATCTTATTTAACGTATAAAAATAGCGCGGAAAAAGGTGACATCTATCGAGATGTTATTCCGTCGCGCAAGATGCGAGTAACAGTTTCGAACGAAGCAACGATAGCGATCGGTTACGTTAATGGTGCACGATTAAACGATAAGTTCTTTAAGCGTTTTCGAGCCTCGTTACGCGTATAAAACGTATAAAACGTATAAAACGTATGAAACGAACACGTTTCGAGTCCTTCGAAATCTCTCCTCGTTAAACGGAATTAATGTCCTGATGGTGCAATCGCCATACCCGATACCGAACAATGACAAAACTTGCACGCTTTCCTTCGTCGAAAAAGGAAGACAGCGTGATTTCCGTGTGTCCAGGGAAAAAAGAAAAATGTTTAAAAATAAGAAAGCCGAAAAAGATTTTGTTGGTTCGCGCGGGAACCAACAAAAATTCCAACGAATAAAAACGCTCGGACTCCGCGATTAACGATCGTTATGAAACTGCCGATCATCCAGACGACATTCTTCGCTTTCGCGAATCGCGGTCGTAACAGTTTTCAAGACGGCCTGGCCCGTTCTCGATGGAAAGTAGACGAGCATGGAGGGACAGTCTCGCGTTTTATTACGTAAAGGTCGTCGTCGATGAAGAGTCCCGGTGAAATGGTAACCGGTCCTTTCGATTTCTGTCTTTCTCTTTCTCTTTCCCTTTCGCTTCCTCCTGTTTCCGACAAGGCGAACACGGACCGAGAAGCAGCGTTGCTCCGGTATCTCGTTAAAACGAATCCTAAGCGACCTCGATGACACTGGCCTTGAGTAGACGTCGCGGTTTCTTCAAGGTTCGCAAAAAGTCACTGGAACGACGGTCGTTAAACCCCTGGTTTAACCCCCGAACGAGATAACCGAGCGTCTTAGAGTTTTCCCGAAATTTTATCGCGAAACCCGGGCCGATGCGAAAATTTTCTTTTTCCAAGTTATCTTGCCTCGCGGACACGAGCGACATCGAATGTAATTTTTCTTTGTTCGCGTTCGACAGGAACTTTGTTGCCGGCGTTCTCCAGTTCCAATTGTATCGAGCACTTTGTCAAGCAGCTGGACAGAGGTACGTCGATGATCCTAGAAGACCACTGCACAGGTGCGACTTCTACAGGAGTCCGGAAGCTGGAAGGATCTTGGGGTGAGTGGAAGGATATCTCCTTATTTCATTTGGTAAACTATTTCGATAACTAACGTGTTAATGGAAAGTTGACTCGACGGAATAAACGATTAAATAATCGATCGAAAAGCGTAGATTTACGAAACGCGTACTTTCTAACGAATTCGAGAACGATTCGTCTCTCTTTCTTAACGAAAACCACTTTTGTGTTTTTGCCACATTTTTAAACGTTTATGTAACGCATTCTTGTTTTTTTCTGTCGGGTTTGAAAACAACACATTTTTTCCTCCAGAACCGCGATATTTATTTATTCGTTTAACGAGCCCTGATCGGTGGCCGATATGGTGAAAGAAACACTCGCGGTTAAAAGCTTGTTCGCGAAAGTGCAATTGAGCGGAAGGATTTACCAATAATTCGAATAAAGCGAAATCAACGATTTTTCATCGACGCGATCAATATTTATTTCTCCACGATGCTGGATGCGCACGATCCATCAAGAGATTCGATGACGAAACAAGCTCGCCTCGATATTTCTGTGAACGCGAACATCATTTGTAAAATGTCATATACATACACGCGTATACCGTGAAACACGTAAATCGTACTCGAACGTCGAAATCGTGAAAAATATCGAGTCAAAAATGAATTACGAAAGGAATAGCTAAAGAGCAAAAGTAACAAGAAGTAAAACCATCCTCGAAAAACGAAACATCCTTTGGACTCGAAGGATTTTCGAACGCGTTCATCGGACGTTTTTGCCAGATTAAATCACGCGGAAGGCATCCGACCGGATTTCTGCGCGAACAACGTCTTTGAAAGTTTTCTAAAGAAAGGGTTCTGACATTTCGACCTATTTGAAATTCAAGGCCAATTCGAGTCCGTGAGAAACGTGGAAGCGCTGTACCTTTTGCGATATCGCTCTAAAAATAGGCCAGGAACTTTCGTCCTCGCGTCTTCGTTCCGTATAACACGGTTACGGTACAACAACGTTCAGATATTTACCTACTCGAGAACCGCTCTCGTTCGCCCTACACCGTTTACTTTTGTAATTCGTAATCCGTCTACGATATTTGGAAATACCGATATTCGGAAAATGCCGATATTAGGAAATTTCCAGTCGACGAAAAGTTTCTTAACCGAAAATAACACGAGAACCTTCGCTACGATACTCTATTCCTTCAAGTTCGTCGGTCCCAGAGTAAATCTATCGAACAACCTGAACATATTTCGACACAAGTTTCTTTCGTGATACGCGCAATCGTACACGTTTACAAGATTCGATCTTTTAATTAATTAATTAATTGGCAGCGGAGGATTTTATATAGCGCGATCTTGACGAGATAATATCTTTGTGCTAGAGCACAAAGACGAGCGATTTCGCAATACGAGCTGGACTATTAAACAATCTTTGACATTATCGACTAATTCTTGAATTTTTCGCAATCGTTGCGACAAGATCATTCGAATACATCGGCGAAGATGTTGCAATCGGTGTCGCGTTAACCTTGAATAAGTATCGGCTTATAGATTTCGAAAAATTTCGAAGTAGCCAAATAAGCGGAGACCGAACAGAAGGTAGGAAAATATCGAAACTGGACCCGTTTCGTCTTCGTCGAATTTACATCCTTCTCTCTTCTTCTCTTCTTCTTTTTTATCGGTAAATTATGGAAAACAGACGACAGAAATATCTGATCGCATAGCAAAAATGGAATTCCCGATCGTGTTCCGTGAGAGAAGATCGATTAATAATTCACAGTAGTCTGCCCTCGGTTCATGCGATCGGTAAACCGACTTTTCAAAAGTACGAACAACTATCTTCCTTTCGAGGAATCGACGCATGTTACGTTCGATCGAAGTTCCAACGAAAATAATATTTAATTGTCCATTTTATTAGAAGATCAACTAACTTTGCGGCAAATAGAAACGAGGAGAAAAATAAACATTGCTCTTGGTGCGTAATAGTTAAGCGGTTACGTCCATCTACGCTTTCACTCGTCGCGTCGTCGGAATCGGTGACTCGCCGAAGTAATATACATATATCGCCTGAAACAGACGACAGCTTTTATTAAACATCGAGAAACATTTACATCGGTATATCCGGAGATATATCGTTAGATAGAAACTGCGACGCGTGCGCCGGACGTATAGACGTTAGATTCTTGTTAGCGATCTTGTTCGGCTCATTTTCAATTGGAAAGATCCGAGAGCTAAAGAAATCTAGAAAATATTAGATGAAACGTTGGAGCGAGCAGAAAACAAAGGCTCCTAGGTTGTACAGTATACGCGCGTATACAGTCGAACGGAAATATCGTGAACGGGATAGAATCGAGAGTCGTATTATATCGATCCCTTGACAATCTAGCGAAACGTAATCCGGGTGAACGAGAGGGAAACCTTTTATTCGGTTCCGCAATTTCTTTGCCAATTTTCCGTCTCTCGATACCCGCTCGATTCGTCCGAAGCAACGATTCCAGGAATTCCATGAAAATCCGACATGAAATCGTGCCACGTGCCAAACCGTTTGATCCTCTTTCTTCGCGTCGCGTCGAGTCGCGTCGAGTCGCGTCGCATCGAGTCGAAAAGAATGAAGAAATCCCGCGAACAAGCAATTAAAAGCGAGATACAGCTGTCAGGATAGCAAGTTCGCGATAATAAATCGCTTCTATCTCTTGGGAGTATCTAACGTTAGCGCCCGGAACATGTACCTGTTCACCGTGTCGTATAAATGCGCGTTTACTCCTACGATTATGAAATGTTGCTTGTAAAATAATTACGTGATAGGCGGCATCGAAACGTCGTGCCTTTTCTTTTCTCGAAGGGTAGAACGTTCGATCGAGTTTCGTAGGTTTTCAAAGCGTTGCGGGCTAAGTTGCATAACGTGTTCGTTAACGCGTTAAATGTCACCGCGAAAACGGACGTACCCGTCGTTTTAATTAGTCCCCGGTAGAATCGTTTCGTTCCCGAATCGAATTTATTCGCTCTACCATCCAGTTTATGTTACCAGACTTATATTTATGACCGATTATCGCTTCGTTAATCCCGATTCAGTAATTTCATCGAAACGAGAGAATTTCCGCGAATTTAACGAAAAATTTAACGAAAAGAAGAAAGTATTCGCTGTTCGAGCAGAGGATCGATAGATTCGGGCAATCGTTCGACCGGACTTCCTGTAATCGAAGGACGATCCGTCGGCGGTGGCGCGTTACGAAACCGATTGCGGCGCGCGCGTTTGTCGTTCGACCGCCGCGAGCTACGCCGCGTCGCGCC